CTGCCAGGCTGCGAACACAGGGCGCCTCTTTGTTGATGTGGTCTTTGAGCCCCAGCAGTATTTTGTAGCATTCATTGTAGAGGTCTTAGACCTCTTTTGTTAGCTATAGATGGAATTAAATAAAAGGGCTTGGTGAGTTTTATGGCTTTTATCTTTTTGCTGAAAAGCTAAGAAGTTGTATTCAATTAGAAAAACTATTTGGTAGATCTGCAATTTTATGAATATAGCTCAGTTTTTAGCTGAAAATAAAACATTTTTTCCCCATTAAAACAACAATAAAGAAATAAAATCTGTATAAATGCATAAGAACAAAGAGAATGAAAGAAGACATGGCAAAAGAGCAGAGTTGTGAGTGAAATTCTGGAGAGGTAAATGACTGGTATCCCACTTGTTGGGCCCAAGGAAACCTGCAGAGAGAACCTAGCAGGAAGAAACTGGCCAAACGCCCACATCACAATCCCCAGCAGACTCAGGAATGAGGGGCTGTAGCACTTGCTGAGTCAGCATTGAAGTTGGGCTAAAATGAAATTGGTTTGAAAGTTTTCATAAGAAGTGGCAGACCCCACCAGATTCCCTTCCCCATCCCCGCCACTGTGTCATCTCTCCATCTGAAGGCTGTGATGGAGGTGACGGGGGAGGAGGCCTTGCATTTAAGGGTAGCGGAGTAGCAGGGTATGGCAAGGGTCTTTACTGAAGATGGGAGGGTGAAGTGGAAGCTCTTCCCAGGACACTGACAGCCAGAAGATGTGAGGATTTCTCCCAGAAGGCACCCTCCCGCCAAGGGACAGAGATCTGTGTGGAAACTGACCTGTGGAAGCTCAGTCCAGTAACCTCACTCAGAGGGCTCCCGACAGTCATCCTTGCCCCTCACCTTGAACTTTCTTTTGCCTCACTGTTGAATGTGAACTGATGGCCAAGCTTCAACAGACATTTGAAACACCTTTAAAATGAAAGACAGACCAACACAAATAGGTAAAAGAACCCGGTCTTTCTTCATGGATGAGACAAGGCAGAAAGCAGATGGAAGTGTTCAAGAAACTGAGAGACTCAGGGAGAAGGAAGACCGTGTGTCTGTGGAGTAAGACCACAGTGCTGTCACGAGGGACACTCGGAGAAAGGGACCTTGGAAATTTAAAATAGAAGTCAGTAAGGGATAGGAGAAAAATGCCAGTAGAAGGGGTGGAAGATAAAGTTCAAGATATCTGCCCAAGTGTAGAACAGAAAGAAAAGAAAATATCAGAAAGGTCATCTTGTAGAATACCTAGCACTTAGCTAAATGAGGGTCAGAGAGAGAAAGCAGGAGGACATGGAGAGAGAGAAGTTACCAAGGAAGTGTACTAGAATGTCTCCCAGAACTGAAGGGTTTGAGTTTCTAGCTCAAAAAGGGCCCACTGAGTAATGGTACAGTTACTTCAAAAAAGAGCCAAACCAAGGTGTATTATTTTGAAATTGTAGAAAACTAGAGAAAAGAGAATAATGATTCCAGACAAAAGATTCCAGTTTGCATATAAAGGATCCGGGGGTGGGGGGGCAAGATTGGTGCCAGTCATTTCAGCATAACCATGGAGTCTGGAATACATGACATGACACAGCACTTTCTGATTCAGAGTGAAATGATTTCCAGTCCAAACTGTTGAGTGGTAGATGGGTGGAACAAAGACATTTCAGAACTTTCAAGGCAAAATTTACCATCCATTCAGCCTTTCTCAGAAAGGTACTGGAGGATATCCTCCAGCAAAATGATGGAGTGGGCCAAGAAATAGAAAGGTACTGCCTCTCCAAATAGGATCTAGCACAGGAGGTCATCCCGAGGGTGATGAAGAAGGAGAGAGAGTCTGGAAGATGTCTTGTCTGTGCAGTCATCCTACATAGCACCCCTTGCACGGTGGAGAGAGTGTTTGAGACTGAAAATAGTGTTTATACATGAGGTGATAAATGTTAGTTATACTGTCTAAAACAAATGGCCAGTAAATTCCTGAGTGTGTTTCTGTGAGGATGTTTTTTCAGTTCTGTGTTACAGCGATAAATAAGACGCAAACTAAACACCCATCCCTAAAGGAATGCGTATGCCATTGGATACCTGTTGCTATGAAACATTATGAATTAAATCTACGCCAGTTGACTTGGGTATACATACATTTCATAAAATACCCTGGTTTTGGAAAAACAGTTATCATAAAATAAAATGGAACAACACAAGTCCGTGTCTATGCACACATGACCGTAGAGAAAGATAGATGCCTAAGAAAAATACTCCGCAGGTTACCAGTTACCTACGTGAGGGGAAGAGGGAGGGAAAGAAGACTCTAAAATACACGTGTGGTTCAGATGTGAGCCCTCTTAACACGAGATAGACGCATAAAGATCATTACTGAATGCATGATTGTAAAAACAGTCATCTCACAATGGGTTTTTTCCTTCCTTCTGCTTTTCTATATTGCAGTGTTTTATAGTGAGCCTGTATTATTTAGAACCCCCACCCTCAAAAAAAATACGCCAAAGCTCATTTCTTTGTGGGGTGAGGAAAGATGGGTGATCACGAGTGTTTGTTTTTTGATATGCTCTTTCATTTCCTTTGGTCTCACTAAGGGCGTAAGAAATGGTATTGATAAATTAGAAGGGAAAGTGATGCTTCCAAAATAAAAGATATATTTTATACTGGATTTCTGGAGAATAGGGTTCACAGATAAAGAAACAGTATCCTGAACTGAAATTCTACCCTACTTTGGGTGGGGGGGGGTTTCATGGGGTGAGGTTGAGGGAAGGTAGTCAAGGTAATCATGCATCGCCTCTGAAGGGGAAATACTTAAGATACAGGACATTCTGGTACGTTTTCCTCCTGGTGGTTAAGTATGAAGTAGAGGAGAACCCTCTCGTAATGCTGGTGATATTGTTGCTTTTCTGTTCAGGAGGAATACATAGTGAGCATTAAGGAATTGGGCCCGTGGAGAAGGATGGATTTGGATGCATGTTCCTTATGGTTTTGTTAAGTCATGGATGTAAAAAGTGTTCTGGTCAGAATAAAATCAGTAAATCAGTGACGTGCATAGGGTCTGCTTGGCTGAACAGAAACCTGACCCTCTTGCAGCTGCGCCCCTGCTAGTCTGTGAGCTCCCAGGGCAGGAACTTGGTTACCAGCGCCTAGCCTTGCACCCGAGACTGGGGATTGCTCAGCTATTCCCAAGGGAATGTTTTTGTGTAAGTGTGTGTGAGTCTGGTAAATAATACTCATCAGTTCCATACAAAGTTGCATTTGATACATTGTGTGGTAATGAACTTGATCATTTTTTTCCCTTTCATTAATTTCTGCCATACTTTTACTGATGAAATTCAAACATGAAAGGACACCTTCATCAGGGTCATGAAGTTACGAAAGCCTACTTTGGCCATGTCGTGACAGGCCTTTTTAAAGTCATTTGATGTTTTCTTTTGAGGGTCTCCTTCTTTGGGTTTTTTCTGTTCTGTTATGGCCTTGCAGATTCTACTTCACAAGCTTAGGGAGTACAAATCAGGAGTTGATTATTGTTTTAATCTTGAATTAGATAGTCTTTGTTCTGTTGGTTTGCCATCTTATCAGTTATGTAATAGGTAGCGCTTCTATATTCATTCATTGGTTATTTTAGCTATTTATTCAGTAAATATTTAAGTTCCTCTTACTCGTTCATTACTCTGTTGGGGTACAAAAGCAAGGGCTGTCTCTGAAAGAACTTCACTAAAGGGGGACAGAGAAGCCAGGAGTGAGAAACGCAAAACAAGGAGCACTGGAGCGAGCGTGGTGGTCAGGGAAGGCTTCCTGGAGGAGCCATAGTTGAGCTAGACATGGACGCTGGGAAAGAGCCTTTTAGGCTCAAGAGATCATGGGCACGTGGAACTCATGGCTTAATCTGAGAGCTCTGAGTAGTGGCTGGGATCTACCAGGGTGCGTGACAAAGACTGACGAAGGTCAGGTTCTGAACTGTGTGTGTTCTAAGCCCAAGGTACTCAGTTCAATACAAAACAGTACAAGAAAAGATTAATTACTTTAGCAGGGCAGTGCATTGTAACGTATTTGTCTTTTTCAGGTAATTTGAAGCAGTGTAGAAAGAAATTACAGGGTTCTCTACAAGAGTCTAATCCATTTAGTATATGAATATGATGATATATTTGGTTGGTACGGTTTATTGAGATAACATTGTAGTACCGTAGGTTGAAAATAATGTTCAGATGCCAGTGGCTTGGCTGCTTCTCCTATCTTCTATAATCATGTTTTGGTTTGCTTTAATACTAAAGTAGAATGAAGGAAGGGCAAAAGTCCAGCAGGTGCATGAGATTATTGGGCTACTTTCACCTAGATTCTCCCTCTGTATTACTGGGGGCTTTCCCAGATGATTAAGAAAATTGTTTGGCTACCATAAAAGCATAAAAGTTAATACAGCATTATGAATTTTAAGAGTGTCTTTGAATGTAGTCTTTTAAAACAGATGCTTAAAAACATTTGTTGAATGAATAGCCCTGTGGTATAGCTAAATGATCTTATTAAAATTTAATCATAAAGACCGATTATCTATAAGAAAAAGAATGCTATGCTGTTTCGTTGTTAGGTGACAGTTATCCTGAGAGACCTCACATTAGATGAAACTATAAAAACAATTATTTGATGATGCAAAGAAAGTGGATTAGGGACCAGAGACTGAGCAGTAGTGGAGTGGTCTTTCCTTAAAAATTACAGAAATTACTCACAATTTGACCATTACATACTGTCCTTCCGTATAAGAGTTTGTTAAAAAACAAACAAAATTACTCCGCTCATTCTTTTTGGGGACCAGAGAGGCAGGTAGATAAAAACAGCGAAGCTTTTTCTTGGAGGCTGTTGTCCTTCACTTTCGTTGATGGTTGGAGAATTGTCTGTAGTGTTTGATCAGTTTAATTTTACCGTGACTTTGTTTACAATAAATTTTGGTTTGTAAATCCTGGTAATTTACTTTTTAGGTATAGCACAGTTAATTATTTTTCCCTTTCAGGTTATGCTTCCTCCTGGAGCCCAGCATTCTGATGAAAAAGGTGCTAAAGAAATTATCCTTGATGATGATGAGTGTCCTTTACAAATCTTCAGGGAATGGCCAAGTGACAAAGGTAAAGGGTAATTTTATTTGTTAAAGAATTATTTATATGATACATTAAATTTCTGCCAGATATGTTAGTTGTTAACTATGAGGATGCTGGGGAGCATGCGTGGCAGGATTTTTTGGGTGTGTGTGTGTGTGTGTGTGTGTGTGTGTGTGTGTGTGTGTGTTTGCTATATAGTTTTTTAGCTCCTTCCTAGATTTGACGGATGTTGTCCTGAGGGCCACACTCTGCTTGTGTGAGTTTGGGGTGTAGGCCTGGAACAGGCTGTCCCGCCGTAGGAGGAAAACCTTGTCTGGAAGGACCAGGACGGGGGTCCCGCACTGTGTCAGCCAGTGCAAGAGCACTGTTCTCTGTCAGTGGCAGGGTCCTCTCCACGCTGAGCGCTTGTAATGGGGACAGTGACCTACAGCCTTAGAGATTGTCCAGGAGTTTAGTCATTTCAAATGAGAAATCCAGACTTTTCACCATTCAGTTTCCCCTAATTATTTCAGAGCAGTGAAGGTTGAAAGCTATAGTTTTCTTGCCTTCAGTTTCACACTGTAAGCTGGGTGTCCTTGAGTAGAGGCCTTTGCATAATGAAGACATACAGATTGATTGCCCATTCATCCTATCAGTAACGTCGACTGGTAGTTTAAAGTATACACTTGCTTAGTCTACCTCTTTATAATATAAATTCAAATTGCTTTGAATTCTGAGTTAATTCAGTTGAGTTAAATAAAAATCAGGTCAACTAAAAATATATTTGTATATATGTATTTGTGTATGCATGTAGTGTGTGTGTGTGATTGTATTTATTGATCATGGGATTACTTACCAATATGAACATTGATTTGTTCTTAAACTGATGCTGTGTTGTTTTCAAGCATGTAATGTGCTTGGGTAGTTGTTAATTTAAAATAATCTTTGGAAATTGCTAGAATTTTTCAGAACATGAGTGACTAATTTTTCCTCTACTGAGTAAAAGTATAAATTGGGTAAGCCTTCACTCAATCACTCCTTGGGAGATGTTAAATTATATTTTCTTGGTAAATCTTAGAAGAGTTGATGGTGAGTCATTTGGCCATGTATGCTGATTTGAGTCTGCTTGATGATTGACAATGTGCACTGTTCTAGGGGTTTTAGTCTTTCAGTTGAAGAGGAGGCCACCAGACTATATCCCAAAGAAAACTAAGAAACATGTCGATGGGAAGCTGGTGAAGGGCAAGGAGAGAGCGGAGGGGTCGGGCTATGGCTCTGCGCTTCCGCCTGAGAAGCTGCCCTATCTAGTAGAGCTAAGCCCAGGTGAGAAATACTATCAATATACATTGTTCTATCCTCAAATGTTTATGCTTTTAATAAATTTTATTTAAGTATCCTTTCTGTTGGCTGACAACCCTTTTTTAGACCATTTATTTTTTTTTTAAAGTTATTCTTATAATATGATATTTAAAAAAAACCAGAACCTTAAGGTCACAGGATATGTATATTTATGCATAAAAATAGAGTTCACATGGACAAAAACGAATATTGAAAAACAAAACTTAAAATAGTGAACATGGAGAGTTTAAGGAGAAGTTTAAATGATCCACTTTTAAAATTTTTTTCCAAAAATAACCTATAAAATACTTAACCTAAAAAATGACAAACTGAAATGTACTCTTAGGGCAAATTTAATAGAAGCAAGTGTGTGTGTGTGTGTGTGTATTTACCATACTATTGTTTAATGTATGAACAGTGTCTGAGAAGGTATCTTTAAATTTAACAGTACATCTAAGAAATCAGTCTGTAAGAGGAAGGATATTTGTTCGGTTTTAAAATAATAATAGACGAAGTTTATTTTCATGTTAGATATTTCTTTTTAGAGCTCTCTTAATTAAGCTAAAGCTGTTGTTCTAAGTTAGTCATGAGGTAGAGAAATATGTTGACACTCCTACAGAAGTGTTTTATGCACATATCCCAATGTAGCATACAGATGTGACACACACACATATATGTGTATATGACATTTTATCATTCAGCTAAATGATACCGTTTTTGTTCATTTGGTTCAAATAGTAGTATATAACCTGTATTATGAAATGCTGTGAAGAACAGAGCATTGAGCTCTCCCACCCAGAACTGCTTTTATTTTTTATTTTATTTTTTTTAAGATTTATTTATTTATTTTAGGGGGGAGTGGTGGGGGGGTGAGGGGCAGAGGGAGAGAATCCCAGGCAGACTCCCGCTGAGCACGGAGCCTGATGTGGGGCACGATCCCAGGACCCTGAGATCATGACCTGAGCCGACATCATGAGTCAGACTGTCAGCTGACTGAGCCACCCAGGCGCCCCGAGAAATGCTTTTAGATAAAGCTCAGTTAGTAAGTACAGAAAAAGCTGGAAGCCAAAATGTAGATCAACTGTGGTTGCTTGGACAGGAATTAAGTTTTTCTCTTCTTTGATTCATGAGTATTTATTTTTGTTGGCGAGATTATAACTAATGAATAGATGAGGTACCTATGGTCCTACGATCTTATGGCACAAGTAGGACCTGTTGATACAGGAAAAATGGTATTGGTTTGACTAATATTCTGTAATTTATAATCAGTGGCAATATGCTGCAGGTAGTAGTTTTTATACTTAATTATGTTTGAGGAGTTTTTTAGATTAATTAGCTGTTTGTGAGGAATATGTTAGTGTTGCTTTGTCCCTCAGTTCTCCGGCTGAAAAATTCATTTAAACTTTCTCGCTGGTTCGGAGACATGTCCCCGTATTGCTGTGCGCTGTGGCGTACGTGAGCGCGGGGGGCTGGTCATCTGTGGCAGTAACGGCAACTGAGGGCCAGCCATTGTGTTGGAACTTAACAAATTTTTAGGATCTTTGGGCATTGGGTCTGCTTTTTAAAATTTTGCATTACATGCTAGAAACTAATGATTGTTTTCTCTAAATCTAACTTTTTGAGGATTTAGGAATATTAGTCTAGAGAGAATTGATAATAGCAGCTGACAGAATAATTTTCAAATGAATAATGGAGAGGTGGTTTGGATGGGTCGCAGAGACAGGATGAGAATTCAGTCCTTCATCTATTTGACAAGTATTTATTGATACTTACTATGTCAGACCCTCCCTGTCCTGGGCCTTTGAGGTGGAGCACTGACTGAACAGATTAAACCCGCTGACCTTGGCAACTTCCATTCCAGTGAGAATTGCTATTTTGACTGCTTATTTCATATTTTTAGTTTCCCAGCTAAAACAATATATAGACGTTTTTGTAGGTGTGGGAAAATAACAGGCCATAGATAAAAATTAATTCTCTAGTACTTTTCACCAAATACCGGGTTGATGCTCATAACACATTTCCTCTGTTCGTGGCACTCAGCATTTACTGAGTGGCTGCTTCAGGGAAAGCAGTGAGTACAAAAGTGAAGAGGGGTGTTCCTGCCTTCATGTGACTCCCATATGAGGCATCATCGTAACACAGTGTGTGAGGAGTCCCTCCCGAGTACCCTGGGCTGCTGGCCCATAGCCCTGCTTGTGGTTCCACAGGTGTCTGTCCTTCACCTCGGCTCCCACTGGCGCCAGGGTGAGCAGTTGGTGGTGGGCCTGGAGGCTGGGCCGGGGTCTTTCTCACACCAAAGCCACGTTCTGTTTACTAGGTCATGCTATCCTTTTCAGTGTTTGTTATTATTATGAGTTGAGCACAGTCAGCATGCTGAATGAAATTGATTTCTTTTTCCATTTACAATAATACCGGTAAATGTTGGTTTGTCATGAATAGATGAGTGCTGTCTGTGCACTGGACATACTACCAGCCAAGCAAGTATCCTCCAGGTTGGGCCACGGTGCAGGAGTTGTAGATGGGAGGTTTTTGAGATGGGGGTGTATGCTTGTATTGTCTTTATTGTCTTTTGGAGAGATAGGGGGTAAAAAGTCATTTTATTCTTTGGTTTGGTTTTGAATGTGTTCAGCCGCGTTGGGTGGTAGTCTTCTACATGGTTAACTAACTTGCTCTCATGCTGCTGGGTGACTCAACTGTCGTCTTGGTGTTTTCCTTAACAGTGTGCATTGGTTTCTAACACACGCTGCCTGGAGCGCTGTTGTCTTGTCCTCACAGCTCCGAAAGCTCTGGGTGAAACGTGCTTTTCATCCTTTGAAAGGGGTCCCACTGCAGCTCACCCTCTCCTGTCTCTCTCCTCCTTCCCTCTTCCGCGTGTTCTGCGTGGCCTCTGTCCTGCCGACGCTGCCCTCACCTGGGCCCCGTGCATGTGTCTCTAACCCCAGGGAGAAGGGATCGCTTTGCCTGCTACAACTATCACCCTTACGAAGGTAATGCTATGTTCATACTGCTTTTCTAACTAGAGCACTAACAGAGCCTCTTGGGCAAAATAATGTTAAGTGGCCAGACATTTTATGTATTAGTTTCTTAATTGATACAAGTAACTTTATTCTAAGAAATGTAATGTGCCATCCTCCCTTGGTTGACGTCTCGTCAGCACCCCATGCGCAGTATTCGCTTCATCTCACGGAAGCCGGGTTTGCAGAAATGTCCAGCTCCTTTACTCAGGCTAAGTCTAGAGTGAGAAATTGGACTGAAGAAGGACAGGAGCTGGGTTCCTATCCTTCCCCTCCTCCCCCCAAAAAGGTTAGGAAGAGGGGAGAAGCTGGGGGAGGAAAGGGTGGGGGGAGAGTGAGGGTGGTGGGTAAGAATGCACCCAGGACCCAGTGGCGGGTGGGAGGGGCTCCGCACTCACACTCAGCTGTAATGCTGATGGGAAGGAAGTGTCCCCATCACTGGCGTTTGTCTGACAGTATTTGGGAGGGCGAGAGGAAGACTCAGCCACACACCTGGCATTCACTCATATTTACCGTCTTTTTTGTAGGGAACTAATGTATGACATTATGACCAGGTTTTAGGGTGTTCCTTAGGATTCTCCTTGTTTTCTTGGTTGAAATTCGTTTCTTCTTGTTAGCAGAGATGTACTTTCTTACTTAGAACATTTTTCTCAAATTTGTCTATTTCTGTTTTTGTCATCTTCAGGAGTACAGCTAGTTTTTGGTTTTATGGAAATACTGTTTTGTCTGTTTTTATGTTTTAAATGTTATTTTTTTACATGTTGAATGTAACAGGTGCTTTTCCATGCTGTATAAAGTTTACCCACCTTTTAGCATCTTGTATTTGTTTGTTGAATTATCTCCAAACTGATAGTACAGATTTTCATTGGATATTAACTGAACTTGGAGTTTGGAGTTTTGTTCCTTTTTAAACAAAAACAGATAAATAAGTGATATTTATCACCTATATTGATACTCATAGAGAGTGTAAGACCTGTTTTTATTGTTTTTTTTTAAATTCCTGAAAAGGATTCTTTAATGTTTTCATGTGTTTGTTAATTTCATACTGTAAAGTAATGGAAACTAGAGAGAAAATGGCATTTCCTTTTTTACTTGGTGTGTATAAAAAATGCATAGAATAAACTCATCAAGGCTTTGACCAAAGTGCTTTTAGTTCTCCATTTGTATTTGAGGAGAGCTAGTTTATTTGTTTCTCCGAATAGAGTTAGTGAAAATATGCTCTAAGCTCTGTACATTCAGTAAGCTTCAGAAATTAGGTAGTTTCTTAACTGTCATGTAGATTCACTAAACTGTGAGCTCTGTGGGGATGTGAATGTGTGTTCAGTTTCTCCCCGTGCCTGGGACCCAGGAAACGCTCGGTCAGCGCTCTTTAAATGAACGAGTCCCTCCCCGTCCCCTAAGTGGCATGGCAAAAACAACACTTAGCACCATATACTAACTTCACCCGGGGTTCACCTGGGGAAGCAAGCAGAGGCAAAAGCGGAGTTGGAGGTATAGAATTGCTGTAAAAACAAAAGTACTCTTTAAAAAATGTTGTTATGCTCTGTTCATAATGGTCTATTTTCCCTTAATATTTAGAATACTAAGGAAAACTTCCAGTTATATCTCAAATTAAAAAAAAAAAGCAAAAGCAGAAAAACGAGATGCAGAACAATGTGAATAGTAATTTAGGGGTACCAGAGTTGGCAAATAAAATTCAAGACACCCAGACACATGAGCAGTTTTAGATAGAAAACCAGTTTTTGTGTAAATCGGGTCCCAATGATTGCCCATTTGACTAGATGCCATGTATTTCATTTGTCAACCCTAAAGAGTATTCTAATGTTGGTGCAAAAAAAAAAGGGAGAAAGAAAAATACGTGTATTGAGTTGCTTAATTTATATGCATAAAATAGATTTTAAAGATTTGCTTCTGGGTAGGGAATTAAGGCAGGAAAGGAAGGGTGCTTTTCATTGTTTACTTCTTGTGCCTTTTAAATTTCAAACCACATGAATATTTTATGTATTTTTAATTCTACATTATGACATGAAGAAAAAACCCAAAACCCCTCTGGTAGAAGCAGTGTTGTATGTGGGGCGGTTACTTAGATTTGTCTGTGCTTTTAAAAGTGCTCCAGATTTGTCATCTCTGGGGAAGAAAGGTGCTCAGGTGCTCTTGTTCAGTTGAGGAAGGGGAGAAAATACAAGGTATTGTTTTAGGCAATACTTTTCTGTGTTCATTAATGCCCATGAGATGGTCCTCATACTCTTAATGAAGAGAAGGGAGTGAGATTTTCCAAAAAGAAAGATGTTGCTTATTTGAAGATCACCTGCCTACATCTCCCCTCACTCCTCAACTCAAACCAGACATCACTGTATCTAGTAAATTCTGTGGCCACCGTTTGGGTTTATTCAAAATCTATCCATGAAGGCTTTATCTGTATTTTCTATTGCTGTGAAAGTGTAAGAAAAGAGGGACTGGGAAGGCAGCTTGCCTCTTCCCCGTGTGTGGGGAGGCTTCCAGTGTAGTGATGGGGGGAGGAAGGAGGGGCTGGAGGGGAAGTTTGTATTTCCCCCTTTTTCTTTATACCTGTAAATCTGTTGATCTAGAAGAGTACATAATATCCATTTATTAGTCACAAGATACCTTTCAGAAGCACTCAAAATGCAGAGGAATATTAATGTGAATTTTTTCTTTCACCCCTAAACACGTATTTTTCATATTCTTGTATTTTTAACTTTGTTTTGATCTTCATCACTTATTTGCTTCTTTTGCTTTCTTTGTAATTCATTGTGTAATTTCTCTGTAACCATATGGCTTTATTTTATTTTCTTCATTTTTAGCTACTAATTATTCACTGTTAATAAATCTTTGTTGAATGTACTGTGGACCAGACACTGTACTGATCGCCAGAATCAAGAGATCGTTTTTTAATCTGGCCGCCAAGGAGCTCAGAGATGGGATGGGGGGGCAAGTAGATGGAAATAATCAATGAATAGGGTTAGTGGTATGAAGATAAAGTAGTCTGGGGTGCTATGGAGGATGGGAAGAACACAGAATGCTTCCTGCCTGGGAGTATTTATTGGGACTGCCTGTGGTGTTTAAAGCAAGCAAAATAATCCACATTCCTGGGGGATTTGGACTCAGCAGCTCTAGAAGGGACCTGCCCACCTCTGGGAGAAGGCTCAGGTGGTTCTGATGCCTCATTTTGGATCAGGATGTGGAGTTGGAGTTGAAAGTAAAACTGTTTAAAAAAAATTCTTCCGTTGCTACCACACACAATGAGGATATTCCAGCTGTGAAGCATTGCAGATGATGAACCAGTTTTTTTCATGGATATTAGGCGTTGTGGCTCTCAAATACAGGTTACTTTCATCCAGACTTGACAGGTTTCAGAAATATTTCAGAAGTGGGAAATGTGATTAGAATGTTATTTTGTGTACTCTACGATTAACATCAATTGTAACAGAACTTTTATATTCATGGTGTATTTTGTCTGTGAGAGTTCAGACCACACCACAGCTAAGAGATTTTAGCAGTCTGAAATCCACGTACACTCCCAATGTTTAACTTCGGAAGCTCTCACAGCTTAATTCCTGGTCCCAGTGATCAGAGATTTTAACTGGCAACTTAATAAGTGAATCAGCAAGTTACTAATGCATTAAAGTCGGTCAGGGAGACTCCTCGTGGCCCTTTTAGGACTTTGCACACCCACACTAGGTTGGCTCTCACAGCTGGGAGATGGGTCATGATTCACTTCACATTAATTCTGTGAGGCATGTTTCCTTGTGTGTTAACAGCTCTGAAATCAGAATAAATCTCTGATTGACATCCTCTGTTAGGTTGAATATATAGTAGGTGAGAAGTGAGGAAACATTTAGGTACGAGCGGATGTCTTGGTGCCGGTTCTTCTTCCTTCTCCCCACGCCATCCCCATCATAGAAATTCATGCACAGGGAAGTTAAACATTTTAGCAGTTCACAGAGGTATAAAATGACACAAAAACAAAAAACCCAGTGTCCCTTTCTGCTCCCCCCCCCCCCCGTTCCACTCCACAAAGCTAAGCACTTTTAATGGTAGTTCTTACTGGAACTTACTGTCAGGAATGGGCATTGGAATCACTTGAGATTATTCGGAAGGCATGTGTGTGGGCCTCATCCCCAGAGATTTGGGTCCGGAGGTCTGGATGAACTATGAGATTGTACATTGAAAACCCCCGTCTGTGATTCCGCTGCACCCCGTCAGTCCCTACGGTGCCGTATACTCTACAGGTGGCACGTTTGCTGGGAGAACAGTCTGCTCTGAAGGGAAGGTCTGTGTATCTGCCTCATAAAATTGCTCTTCAGAATCAGTCACAAAAATCCAGGCTGCATGGTGGAGAAATTGCTTTTTGTGTGATAGAAAACGTTGGTTATGGATGATGATGTTAACACCTTAAATTAAACAGAAGCTAATGTGTCTGTGTCTTAATTTAAATTTTCTATATCCAGTTAATTAAATTGCATGATTTAAATATGAAGAGTTCTTTGAAATGAAACGCTGAGAATTGAGAACTGTTATGTCATTTCTAAGATAACCTTTTGTTCGCTTGCTTTGTTGGCTTGTTTGAAATAACATGACAAGAACATCAGACTTGGCAAATGAAGCTTTGTTCTTTCCCGCAGATGGCTCAGATTCCAGAGATAAGCCCAAGCTTTACCGCCTTCAGTTGAGTGTCACCGAGGTTGGGACAGAAAAGTTCGATGAGAACTCCATCCAGGTGTGCAGGCGAGCCACGGCTCTACCACCATCTGTCCTTACATTTGGGTGGGAAGAGGCACGTGGTACAGGGCCTGCGTATGGTAGCAGATACAGGAACAGACACACAGGAAAGACTTTATTCTTTTATAACTGTGTGCTCTGGCTCACTTTCCTTTGCCTCAGCACGACCAGAGCAGACTGTGACATTACGTCCACTCCCCACCTCTGGAAACTTGACCTGGTTTGTGGAGTTCCTCCGAGACTGTTGGCTTTTCTCCAGAAGATGGTGATAACTTTGTGGGTCTTTTTCAGGATCAGGGGAGGTAGCCTGCTGCTGGGTCTGCTGCCCATCGCGGTGGGCATTCCCTGGGCTGTAGTTAACAGTGTTAGCCAGATATGGTACTCAGGTGCTCAGTGAAAACAGCATAGCGTGTTCTTTAAATGAGGAAGGCCAGGGTTCCTTACCTGATTGAACTCAGCTGACCTCCAGCAGACTGCCCCTTCCCTGTGCTGTCATTTCCCAGTTGCAGATGATGGGTCGGGTTATTTAGTGTCATTTTCAGTTCTGACATCCCTTCCTTCAGCACAACAGTAAAACAGATAAATAGAGTTTGTAATCCTAATCATCTGTACAGATTTATTCTTATCTAATGTTTAAGATGACCATGTGCTTTTCAATTCAGATTTATAGTGTGTCTTAAAGCAAGTTACTTGATGCTAAACATAATGTGTTCAATAATTCTGAGACTTTTTTGACAGTGTTTATTTCCTTTTATACTGTGTGGGGGGGTTCTACTTAAAAAGCACCAAAAATCTAGTTTATTTTATTATATTTATCATAAAAGAGGAACTCGTGGTTTTAAAATGCTGGGTTTTTGTTTTTATTTTTAAGTAGGTTCCATGCTGGGCATGGAGCCCAGTGTGGGGCTTGAACTCATGACCTTGAGATCAAGACCTGAGCTGAGGGCGCCTGGGTGGGTCAGTTGGTTAAGCAACTGCCTTCGGCTCAGGTCATGATCCTGGAGTCCTGGGATCGAGTCCTGCATCGGGCTCCCTGCTCGGTGGGGAGTCTGCTTCTCCCTCTGACCCTCTTCCCTCTAGTGCTATCTCTCATTCTCTCTGTCTCTCAAATAAATAAATAAAATCTTTAAAAAAAAAAAAAAAGACCTGAGCTGAGATCAAGAGTCAGCCACTTAACCAACTGAGCCACCCAGGGGCCCTAAAAATTCTGTTTTTAAATACCATGTCCTTTATGATGGAAGTTTCTTTGATTTTATTTTAGCTGTTTGGATCAGGAATTCAGCCCCATCACTGTGACCTCACAAACATGGATGGAGTTGTCACTGTCACGCCGAGAAGCATGGAGGCCGAGACTTACGTGGAAGGACAGCGCATCTCAGAGACAACCATGCTGCAGAGTGGGATGAAAGTGCAGTTTGGGACGTCACACGTGTTCAAGTTCGTGGACCCCAGCCAGGACCACGCTCTGGCCAAGAGATCTGTGGATGCAGGCCTGACTGCCAAGGGTCCCAGACACAAGCCTGGGTAATTGCTGTCCATCAGCTTTAAGAGTTTAGGGTGGTTTGATTTATCTGTAAAGGAATCTGAATTCGGCATACATGACAGGTGGTTTTATTTTTAAAATTCAAAGTACGGTTTGTTCTTGTTGATTTGGGTTGGTTGCAGAGGAAAGAAGAAGAAAGGGGTCTTGGCTTTATTGTAAAATTGAAGTTGTGGGCTGGTTTTTGAATTAGTTAGGGTTAGGGTTAGGAGTAATGAAACACCCTAGGAACTCTTTAAGGAATTAAAAATAGTTTAGCTCCACCTAGTGCCTTTCTGAGGACTTGCAGTGTGGGCCTATTACCAGAGAACACAAATCCTTACTGATCATCTAATTAAACTGCTTGACAGGGGAGGGAGTAAGACTTCCTTTTTGGTAATGGTAATTTTTTAAAAGAATACGCTGTTTAGCCCCTTTGTCACCCAGCTCGCAGGCTGCTAGGGCATGGGTCTGGGACAGTCGTTGCCACGGCCCTTCCCACACGCTGTGGCAGGCAGCCAGAGTCCGCTGAGTTCAGAGCAGCTCTGCCCCACCAGCACCGTGGACACGGCGTGTGGGTGGTCTTCTCACCGCTGCCTGCCCCGTTCTTTTGTTCTGTGACCTACCTTTGCTTAGCTACCCGGAGTTGGTACTCTCGGGCAGGTGTGAATTGTTAGTTTCTTCGTGCTGGTCTTGTGCCAGTTTGCCGGCATTGTAAACTCTACTGACATCTTTCTTGGAGGGTTATTAGGTCATTCTGTGTCCATCTTGAATCCTGGCCCAGAAAAGGGATAAAAGGCAGCTAATACAAGTAAGACTTAATATCTTTCTCCAGGATGACACTTTGTGGATGGATCATCACAAATGTTCCCCTAGGCACATGGGACGTGGGAAATGTCATGGGGTGAGACCTTCTCCCAGCTGCTCACCTCCAGCTCCACATTTCAGCCAAGGACCCGTCCCTCGGTTCCCAAGGAAAACCATTGTGGGCCTTGACTTCTCAAGAAAGCCCATTTCTGCCTGAATAGTCTTCCAGCTTTAAACGGAATGTGTATCTAAAGTCATCCTTCCATTTTGTGTCTTGGAGGACCATTTGTTTTATATTCTTTTTAAGGTAGTATTTACTTATGAGCCACGTCCACATTTCCTGCTCCTCGTCGTGACCTCTACGTGGCCCCTTTGTTTCAGCCGACAGTTCGGATGGTTTCCATTCTAATCCTCCGTTCTTCTTCAGGCCTGCATCTTTCTTTCAGCACCAGACGGGGTGACAGGGTGAGGTATGCCTGTCTGAGAGTCTTACTTGCCGTTTACCTGTAGGATGTTTGGCCAAAGCAATCATCGTGTGGAATGGTTTCTTCTGGCCTGTTGCACGTTGTTTTTCAAGCGGTACCTGCAGTTTTTCCCAATCGTACTTCATTCCTGAGTGGTAGATCATACTTACTTTGATGGTATGTGTTGCAGTTGTAGTGATAAGACTGTCCCTGTCCCATCACTACAGTCCTTGAGTTTTGCCCGGCAGGGTTTTCTGGTTTTCTGTATGCAGGGTCCCTCCCCAGTTGTTTGCCGTAATGGCTCCTGCTTTGGAGGCCTGCCCACGGTGTCTGTTTTCATCTTATCTCCGGCCAAAAGCAGAATCATACTAAGAACATGGTCTAGGTTTCTTTGACGGGAATGTGCTATGAAATTTTATGTTTATTATTACATCTTTTCCTTACAAACCTGGTGAAAACTGCTCAGTGGTTGAATATACCAGTACTTATATGTACATCATAAATTAGAAAGAACTTTCATTTTTTTTATAAACACTAATTTTGTTCTGTTGTCAAACTATCATACATATGTCTAGGTAGATAACCCATGGTTTTTTTTTCTTTTTTCACGGATGTGTGTATATATTTTTTTTATTGAGGTATAATTGACATGTGTTAGTTTCGGGTGCAAAGCATAATGATTCAGTGTTTATATTTTTGCTGAATGATCACCACAGTAAGTCCAGTTACCATCCATCACCATACATGTGTACTTTTTTTTTCTTGTGATGAGAAGTTGTAAGATTAGCTCTCGCCAACCTTCAGGTACGCAGTACAGTACTAGTAACTATAGTTTCCGTACCGTATATCACATCCCTGTGACTTAAATTTACAACTGGAAGTTTTTGACCCACTTTACCCACCCACCACCCCTGCCTTTGGCAACTACCAGTCTGTTCTTTTGTGACTATGAGCTTAGGTTTTTTTGTTTTGTTTTAGATTCCACACGTGAGTGAGATCATACAGTATTTGTTTTTCTCTGTCTGGCTTATTTCCCTGAGCACAGTGCTCTCCAGTTCCATCCATATTGTGCAAATGGCAAACTTCCCTTCTTTCTTATGGCTGAATAACATTCCATTTTATATATGTATATAGCTAATATACGTTAGTTATATATATAAACAAATATAAGTATACAAGTATATTTGTATAAGTTACATGTATATAAATATAAGTAAGTATATATAAATATAAAACTAATATATTTTTGGTGGGGGTCTTTAGGGTTTCCTATAGGTAATACCATGTAATCTGCAGATAGTGACAGATTTATTTCTGTTTGGATGCCTCTAATTTCTTTTTCTTGCCTAACTGCTCTGGCTAGGACTTCCAATACTATGTTGAATCAAAGTAGTGAGAGTGGGCATCGTTGTCTTCTTCCTGATCTTAGAGGAAAAGCCTTCAGGTCTTCATCATTGAGTATGATGTGGCTGTGGCCATGTCGTAAATGGCCTTTATTATATTGAAGTACATTCTGTCTATACCCTCTTTGTTGAGAGTTCTTATTGTAAGCAGATATTAAATTTTGTCAGATGCTTTTTCTGCATCTGTTGAGTTGATTATGTGCTCTTTATCCTTTATTTTGTTAATACAGTGGACCACATTGACTTATGTGTGGATGTTGAACATCTGCACCCCTGGAATAAATCCCACTTGATCTTGATGTGTGATCCCTTTAATGTAATGCTGAATTTGGTTTGCTAATACTTTGTACAAGGTTTTTGCATCTCTGTTCATCAGGGATATTGGCCTGTAATTCTCATTTCTTGTGCCCTTGTCTGGTTTTGGTATCGGGGTAATGCTGGTCTTGTAAAATTAGTTTGAAAGAGTTCCCTCCTCTTCTAGATTTTGGAGAGTTTGAGAAGGATTGGTATTCATTTTTCTTTGAACATTTTGTGGAATTCATCAGAAAAGCCATCTGGTCCACGACTTTTGTTTGTTGCGTGGTTTTTGATTAATGATTCGATCTCCTTGCTAGTAATCCATCTGTTCAGATTCTCTATCTCATCATGATTCAGACTCGGTAGTTTGTATGTTTCTAGGACTTCATCCATTTCTTCTGGGTTGTCCAGTACCAGTTGCAAAGTCTTCTCTTTTAATTTCTGATTTTATTTTATTTATTTCTTTCCCTGTAGTAACCTTGGGCTTTGTTCTTTTTTTTCCTAGTTCCGTGAGGGATACATGATGCATGTGTTCTTAATTGCAGATTTCAGGGTCTGTGTCTTCAAATCCTTAGTGAATGGTAGACTAGCAAAGTAGCACAATTTGATGTTGATGGTCAGGGTGAGACTTCTGTTGATGGGTTCGATGCACTCATTCACCTTTTCATGTATGTATTCATCCAACCTGCATTCATAGGGCACCTGTGTCACATGTCACTGCCCTCTGGGCTGAGGTGGCCAGGACATGGTTCTTACCCTCAATGGTTATACTTAGATAATGTCATTAAAGTCATAAATAAGTCACTTTGTAATCATTTACGTATCCAGAATGTAGTACAAATGGGTCCATGTTAAACTTTAAAGTCTTGTTAGCTTTGGGGGGAAAAGTAAAGAGCTTTGCATGGTGTTGAGTAGATTTGTTATTTTAGGATGATAATCACGTGTGGAGTCAAGAAGGCTTTGGCTGTATTTCGTACATCAGTAACATGGAGTTAGGGATAGGTGCGGTGTGTATGTAGCTTTGATAGATGATGGAGGGAGGTGAGCTGTCGTACTTCTGCTTTAATTATCAGAGACAAAGTAACTCAACTGAATTTCCCATTCCAACCATTAGAAACCAGGAGAACTTTCTATGTTTTGTGAATATCTTGGTGACAGAGGGTAAGTGACAAAGTATTTGGCTTTTAGCACAAGCTTTTACTTTCTCAAGTTACTATTTTAAAGTATGATACTGTTTTGTATTACAAGATGATTTTATTTTCATAGTGATGCGGTAGAGGAGGAATTTGTACCTGATTTTCTAATTTGAAAAATTGTTTTGAACTTCTCCATCACTTGTGGTTTCATTCTATAGATTGGGCTTAAATACAAGTTTAAAGTTACCACGGTGCTGTGAAACTAGACAGATTTATTTATTTTATATATATATATATATAAAACAAAAGAGATTGTCATTCTTTTTGATTACCTTGGGCAGAAGCCCAGGAAATTTAAGCACTGACCCATCCTTTTGGTTTCCAGGTGTTTTTAGGGCTCTTTACCCCCCCTTTTTTGGGGGCTCTCTCTTGGTCTGGGATTAATGGATTGTATTTACCTTTATTTGTGCCGAAGAACCATAGCTTGCTTCAGGTTATTGAGTCTTCAAAATGAATTTTGTTTTTTCTGAATTTTTCATAATGATGGTTTTAAAAGTTTGGTATTTTTAGATATTCTAAGAAATTGTTTAAAATAGAATAACTCTTGATCTGATTACTAACATTATACAAAAGTTCCCCATTTCTTTATTATAGTCTAAGTAGTGGTATCCATGAGCTTTTAAAAAAATCATCAGATTGGCTTTGTAAGGATGGCAGCTTCGCGCCCGTGCCTTACCCTCCGATGAACGTGGTTGCCTTCCCTGTACCAGCAAGTGGGCTCATGAAACCGCAGACATCTGCACTTCATTTATGTGCTGTTATGTGATGAAGCAGCTTGCTTTTTTCTTTTATGGTTCTTTTTAATTTATTGTTATTAAAATATAGTCTTAAAAATTATGATCCTGAGAGTATTCAGTATATAGCAGTAAGAAAAGTTCATAAAGTTTTTGTTTTTTAAAGATTTTATTTATTTGAGAGAGAGAGTGTGGCAGAGGGAGAGGGGGAAGCAGGCTGCCTGCTGAGCAGGAAACCGGACTCGGGGCTCCATCCCAGGACCCTGGGATCATGACCTAAGCTGAAGGCAGACGCTTAACTGACTGAGCCACCCGGGTGCCCCGAAAAGTTCATAAAGTTTTAACAGCTTTTTTATTCTGTAACTTTATGTGCTGAAAATAAAGCGATTTCTTGAGGCTCTTTGAATTGGGATATTTAGCCGTTTCTTTTGTATTATTGAGAAAAAGGATGTCTTATGATTCGAGAGTTATTAATTCTATGTATTTCTTTCTTTCTTTTTTTTTTATTCTGAAAGAATTGTTCAAGAGACAACTTTTGATTTAGGAGGAGATGTTCATAGTGGAACAGCATTACCAACAAGCAAGGTAGGTAATTTACATGACCTGATAGGACTGTGTTTGTGTGGCATTATAGGACACCGTGGATGAATTATTGGCGATACACTCGTAGAATTATTGCGAAGACAAACTTCACTGTGGTCTCTAACTGAGGGTTGTCCTAATCTGTTGTGCTGCCTCTTAGTGATACATAACAGGCCTAAGGCTGGGGAACTGTGCTTTCTCCTCCAAGCAGTGCATCCTAGGCTCATCCTCTAAGTAACCCTTCTTGGCCAGGTGACCTCTGAAGAAAACGGACTTCCCTCTCATCCACCTGCCAGCTTACCTTCTCAGGCACTTTTCTTCCACAGTTACCCCTTATCTTGCATGATCAAGGAATTTGTGTCCTCATTTTGGTTATCTATCGCTCAGTAACAAACCACCCCAAAACTTAGTGGACTAAAATAAAACAGCACCCATTTTATTTACTGACAGTTGTGCAGTGTGGTTTAGACTCACCGGGGCTGTTTGTTTGCTGGTCTTGCTGGTGGTGACCCATGTTGCCGCATTCAGCTTCTGGTGGGTTGGTTGGTGGCCTGGCTGGGCCTCCCCTCTCCCTGTCACCTCAGGTTCTCTCCCTGGGACCTCTTTCCCATCTCTCCCTGAGGGCAGCCAGATGTTTTGGTGCCTCACAGAATCATGGAATTGACAGGCCTTCTTAAGCTTGGGCCAGAGCTGGTGCCCCGCTTTGATTCCCTCACCTTCCATTGGTTAAAGCCAAACACAGGCTTAGCGCAGATTCAGGGAAGGAGCTGCTCCAGGTGCGGCAGGCTGAGGCTGCCGTGCGGCGGCACCGGCCCCGACATGCTGTAGCACCTCCTGTTCTTAAACACCCATCCTGGGCCCTCCAGCTTTTGGCCCCAGTTTTCTGCTTCTCTTCATTGTGTGATTTCTCGAGGAGGTCGTCTCTGCTCCGTTTCCTGTTACTCCCTCTTCTTGTCTTCATAGGGACTCTGTCTGTCCTGTGCTCTGCTGACGTCCCGATCGCCCAGTCCAGTGCTTGTTTCCCTCCATCGGCCTGAAGATAGGTTAGCACCATTTACTTGGGGCACTTTCTTATTTCAGCCTCAGGGTGTCACCCTCCCGATTTCTCCCACCTTGGTGCTCAGTCCTCCTGGGTCCCATCTGTTGGTGGTACCTCTCCAACGTCTTCCTCCACTTGACTTCTCACATTGGTTTCAGACCTAGGGCATCTTCTCTCCTGTGTATACATCTTCCTGAGGTGATCTTATGCAGTGGGGGAGTTAAAGTACATCTAAACATTAATTACTCTTGACTGTATCTTTGGCCCTGACCTCTGCAGACTCCAGAGGCTTGCTTGATACAGCCGTGGTGATGTCTAAGACATATTTCAAGTTTAACATAGCTAAAACAGAACTGATTTTCTTTCTCAAACATCTTTCTTTCCCTGATCCTTCCCCCTCTCAGTAAATGATATCCTCACCCATAGCGTTGTCCCCACAGAAGTCCATCACTGGTTATCCTGGGTTCCTTCCCTTCCCTCAGCCTCTACATTTACTTGTTGGCAAGTTTCGTTTGCTCTTTGTATGAAATAGTCCACAAGTGCCTGTCTTTGTCGCCGCCGTGAGTGGTCAGGCAGAGTCTCCAGGTGTCAGATGGCAGGGAATCTGCATGGCTTCTGAGTTAGCAACCTTTCCTCTGCTGACCTGGCTTGTCGCTCTTCTCCCAGTGCCCGGGCTGGTGTTCTGAAAATAGGAATTCGATCGTCTTACTGCCCTGCCTTCACAGCCCCTTCTGACCTGGCCCACCTTTCCTCTCGGCTTAGCCTGTGTCGGCCACACTGACCACACACCTCTTTCCCATCTGAAGTCTCGGGCATGTTTGCTCTTCCTGGAGTGTTCTTCCCACTGGTTTTCATGCACCTAGCCCCTTCCTAATGAGACTTCAGTTTACGCATCACCTCCTTGAAGAAACTTCTTGAGCATCCCGGCATAATTACACCTTACTTTAAATTCTCTGTGCCAGCCTGTACTGCCATCTGATCCTTGTCTCCTGTGCTGACTGTGGAATGTGAGCTCTGTGCAAGCAGGGATCTCACTTGGCACGTTCATTGCTGCACCGCTTGTGCTCAGAAAGCGCTCAGGGCATTGAAGAGCCGCAGTAAGGAGTTGCTGAGCGACTGCGTGAGCAAATACTCTTGGAACCAAATGTAACTGTCTTCATAAAAAGTTGAGTTTCTTAGGGGTGCCTGGGAGGCTCAGTCGATTGTGTGTCAGACTCTAATTTCAGCTCATGTCATGATCTCGGGGTAATGGGATTGAGCTCCGTGTCCAGCTCCACGCTCAGCAGGGTGTCATCTTGAGGATTCTCTCTCCCTCTCCCCCTGCCCCTCCCCTCCACGCATGAATGCTCGCGCATGCTCTCTCTCTCTCTCTCTCTCTCTCTCTCGTGCTCTCTCTCTAAATTAAATAAAAACTTCTGAAAGTGTATAGTTAAGACAAAACTTGGTAAATTAAGAAAAAATGTACAGAAATGAAAATCATTCATCCTCAATTTATAGTTGGCTGTTGGTAACATTTTGATGGATCCTTTTCTGGGCTCTTTATGCTGCACGTGTGCGCATGAACGCACTCTGAAGTGATTAAAGACACGCGCACACCTTTCTGTCCTACGGCCTTTGGCTATGCTTTTGTAATCATTTTATTTGAAAACAGGCTAAAATTATTTTGTAATATGTTAGCTTATAAACATACCATAATTTATCCATTGCCTTCTTATTATTCATTTATAACAGTTTTTTGTAGTCTGTTGCCATCCATTGACCAAGCATTTTATTTCTATAAATGTGTTTTATGGAAGTAACCATTATGTGTGAATATATATATTTACAGACATGGTTGTCAGGATGCCCTGTCCTGGTGAACATTTTAAACAATGTCATCATGGACAGTTCAATGAACTTTGGTGAATAGACAACAAAATGTTACACAACCATTACAGTTCTGTAACATAAAAATATTGTAAGATGTTTACAACGTATGAAAAAGAGTACTTCTTACAAAGTAGGTTGTATAACCTCATTTATGGAAAATAAGAAAAACCGTAAAGATAAGTACAGCCCAGAGTTACTCTCTGGTTGGTAAGACAAGAATGATTTCTATTATCAATCTCAATTTCTACCATAAACAAATACAATGAGAAATTTGACATAAAATTTTTGCTATAGTGAATTTCTTTGTATAATTTTATTGATTGTGTTCTGATTATTTTCTTTTTTTAAAGATTTTATTTATTTATTTGAGAGAGAGAGAAACAGCATGAGAGGGGAGAAGGTCAGAGGGAGAAGCAGGCTCCCCACTGAGCCGGGAGCCCGATGCGGGACTCGATCCCAGGACTCCGGGATCATGACCTGAGCCGAAGGCAGTCGCTTAACCAACTGAGCCACCCAGGCGCCCGTTCTGATTATTTTCTTACTAATATAGGTTGCTTGTCTGTTTTGCCTGCCTTGGGTTGGTTAGGGATGTGCCCTGCTTGGAAGAGCTTAAATGGACCGTATTGGGCCGCTGTAAGTGTGCCTTTTCTCTGTTGATGAAGGGCAAGAAATAAACCAGTTTCTGTACTCATTTCTTCATTGGGTGTTGAGCTGTGATGAGTAGATTTTTAAATCCTTTCTTAACAAGTAAAACAAAGACCCTGACTTTTCATATTGTACATATTCTCTTAGCTCTCTCCTGAATTAGAACTTTTTGGGAGTAGTTACTGTTTTTACTGTACTGGTTGAGGAACCCTTGTGTATATGTACCACTTCTGCCCTGACTGTGTTTTAAAGCCCATGGCTAGCTCTTTGAAAAGCAAAGTGGCTGTGTGTTTTATTGTCTCTTGATGGCTGTGTTTTGGGGCATGCTGCTGTGGACACGGCACCCTCAGCATTGCCGTGCCTTTTTCTTGTCCATGCTCTTCCTCTGCCTCCCGCTCCTGCCTCCCCTGCTTGGCAGCCTTGCCTCAGATCTTCACCTGCAGGAGTAAGTGAAAGCCTGGTTGGTTTGCTTGGTTAAATGCTGTGTCTTCCCCTGGCTTAGAGCACCACGAGGCTGGACAGCGACAGGGTGTTGCCTGCCTCCAGCACAGCGGAGCGCGGGATGGTGAAGCCAGTGATCAGAGGAGAGCGGCAGCAGGATTACCGCAGGCAAGAAAACAGGTAGGAAGTTCTTTTTTTAATTATGAAAGAAGTGAAAGTGTTCCTAGAAAGGGCTTGGGGTAAAGATGATTGAGTCTATTGAGGTTTGGCTGACATTTTTAGAATGCTATTTTCTTTTCACATTACTGCACTGAAGAGAGGGCTTCATGAGCAGTGGTACTCCTTACCCCAGTGCCACGGCGTCGTCTGTCCGGTTGAAATGGGAGCCCCTTTGAGTTAAAAATGTTTCTGTTTTAACTGTGCTATTCTGTGAAACATGGAGAAAAGAAGTTTTTCTAGGACGTTAATATTTGATGATTTTTATATTTAGATAATTTACTCATCATTTCACCCATCCGTATACAAAATCCTTCCATGTTTAAATACATGATGCCAAACATGACTTCAGATGGAGTTTTTAGGATTTACTGAGTGCCACATTACTGTGTCTTATGTTCTGCTGAGAGGGTAGGGATAAATATGTTTCTCCTGCCATTGTTCTTGCCTAGTGTTTTTGAACAGAGAACTTCTGCCTTTTGTTATTTCCTTTTCTTACGATTTTTAAGTACATGTTACCTTAATTAGAATTCTACTTCCTTGTGACTTTTTAACATTGTTTAAAAGTTGAAAAGTGATGTCAGTGCCTCACACATTGAAATAACAGGTGATGAGTTCCAAATGCTGAGCTTCAGCAGCAGCGTGATATGGTTCGAGTACTTCTCTAGCAGGTTTCTAAACACACACAGACAGCAATCGGGCAATAATAGCTCAGGAGTACCGTATCACGTACTCTCATTATCAGTAGTGGAACTGGGGGTGTCCTTCTTTTTGTGCTATTCAGATTTTTGATGAAGCCATTCTAACTGTTCTCTCTCAGATCTGGTAACTGAGGCAGGTGACTGGCCCAAGGTCATGTATCAATTTGGTGACAGGCAGCTGATGTAGTTCTTTAATTTTCCATCTTCCAGTAGAGGGCGCTGTCTGTTATAAGTTTTTAATATCATTTATCACAGTAATTCAATTTGTAGATTGATATGGGAATCTCGGGTTTTTCCCTTGTTTTTATCCTGCACTTTGGGTTATTATTCAAGATTTTTGTTGACTTTGTGAATTTTTTTAGATGTAATAATAAGTCTACTTCCTGTGTCTGTACTTGTTTTCAGTGGTGTATTCTAGAATAAGATATTCCAAATGGTAAACTAGCATCGTAAAGAATGCCTCTATTTATTTATAAGGTGATTGAGAGCAATGTATCATAGTTCTTAGCCCATAAATATTTGAATGAATGAATAAATCAAATGGAGAGGAAAGAGCAGTTAGGATAATTCTTTTAGGACATGCAAAATTAATGTGTGTGTGTAAACTATATATATAGTTGGTAAGTAAATATAGTAGGTTAGTACAGTGTCAGATAGCCATCTGATGGTTCACTGTATGTTAGAATTGATTTTATCCTGTGAGCAAAGATTTTACTAAAGGTTTTATTGGAACTATAGGTATGTACTATTTTGTTGATACTACAGCGGTGATGGAAACAGGTGATTCTTCTATTTTCGGTCTTTGTTTTTCACATATACAATGTGGGTATAAGCAATGCTTCACTTAATTGGTATATTCATAAAAATCTAAGTTGTTTTAATAGGTATATTTAAAATACTGATGTTAGGAGTGCCTGAGTGGCTCAGTCGTTGAGTGTCTGCCTTCAGCTCAGGTCACGATCCCAGGGTCCTGGGATGGAGCCCCCACGTTGGGCTCCCTGATCGGCTGGAAGCCTGCTTCTCCCTCTTCCTTCTGCTCCCCCTGCTTGTGTTCCCTCTCTTGCTTTCTCTCTCTGCCAAATAAATAAATACAATCTTAAAAAATAAAATAAAATACTGATGTTAGTCAAGGAAAAAAATCTTTGAATAATGGAGTGCCTTAAGTTCTCACTGACACATTTTTTTTTTTTTGGTGAGATATTAAATTCCTTTTTTTTACCAGATGTGTTAAATTGATGAAACAATTGGTAAGGTTCATCCAGTTTATTGTTTAGATAGTAAATTGAAAGTAACTGCTTATCTGCAATTTTAGATGCCTATAAATATAGGAGTTAAGAGAGACATGTAAACATAATTGGACATTTAAATTCTATTGTTTATAAGAGCCTTTTTACACCTGAATTGTTGAATTAAATCCAAATTGTTCAATCATAGACAGGATAGGAAACTGTGAAGCATATAATTTGATGGAAAGACTTTTGTTTTTCCTTCTCACAATTAAATCAGTTTGAGGTAACTCGCTGTGTTTCTCTTTGTTGCTCCCTCAGTGCTGGGGGTGGTGGGGTGGCGGGACGGGAGCTGCTGGGGACGAGTGACTTTAGTCTGTGGCCATCACGGGCTCTTCTCCCTCTCGTCTCCTTTCTTAAAGAAGTTGTCACAGGAGCCCATGTAGTGAATGAGCAGTCACAGCAGTGACTCCAAACCCTGAAATTGGGCAGGTTCGTCACTGTTTATCCGGGATTGGTAGACTTCAGTGTTGCTGCTGAAAATGACCGTCATTTAACTCACAAATTCATAAGCACCGGTAAGGCTGTTGACTCACCCTTCCAGCAGATGTGAAGCTCTGTTTGAATACTGACCTCAGTTTTGCCTGAGCCCATATTTACCTCAGTAGTTCTTTCATCCCAGTGTAAATCACTGTAGCCCCACTCTTTACTTTCCAGTTAGGTTTGTGGGAAGGCACAACACATGTTTCTTTGCTTTTGCTGTCAATTTTAATTTTCTTAATCTCTTCGAAGACAAATTTTGTAAAATTTTTCCTGGTCATCTGTAAAAGCTGAGCTAAATGGTAAAGATTTAAACTCTTTAGGAATCTAATTACTTGCCAGTTTGTTTGGGGTGGGAGGTGACTTACAAATGTTATACATAAAATACAGCTAGTAGCCAACTAGCTTAGAGTAATGATTAAATTGCTTGAAATTCTAACCACATGTCTACATGAAAGAGTAGTTAAACTGAACACCATCCATCGAGAACAGTATAAATCTAAGGTAAGGAAATCTCAATTGGATTTGTAATTATTTTACACATTTTAGAAATTCTGTGCTTACTAATAGCTTTCAGATGTTGTTTGACCACAGTACACAACACAGAATCCTGTCGTATATTGTGCCGCAAGGGACACATACCTACACATGTGTATATTTACAGCTGAAAGAAGAATTTCACAGAACAGTGAACCTTCCACCCTACCAGTGGGGGGGGGGGGCAGGGTGATCCACTATTTGGAGAACTTTTTTATAGAACTAGAAATATACCTAACCTTTGAGGTACTTTGACCCAGAATACCTGGAAATACATAAACATTAGCACAGTGCTAATTCTTCGAAGTGTTCCAAATCCTAGTTGCTCTTGGTTTATATTTCTTGGCAGTGCCTTGTTTTTGTAGTGTCTGGCTAAATGATGAAAGGTGTCTGGAATTGATGTGACTTTAAGGAAAAGTGTGAGTAGGATTACTTCTTCCGAAGGCGGGCTTCCCTGTGAGCATCGAGAAATGGTAATACGGAGTGACTGAAGGGGCCTGCAGGGATTATCTTCTCTGAGCTTTATCAGAAGCCAAGGGCAGTGTCTGGCTCTTAGCAACTTGTTCTTCATGTATAAGAGCTGTTTCAGGCTCACGGTGGTTTAGTTTTTCTCGTGTCTCCTAGCAGTAGCTTTTCATCGTGATTCGAGCCATCGCCATAGCAGGTGCGTGACAGCCTGGTCGCCCTACTCTGCACGGAATCTTCATGAATAATAGAGAATCGCGGTCAGATCAGTTCTCAGGATGGAAGCAGATACTTCAGGGAACTGACCTCTGAGGAGTATGGATATGGTCGCTCTCAGTGCGCTCCTCTGAATATTTGAATAGTTTCCATGTGAACATGAGTCATTGGGCTGTGTATTATTTGTAAGAACCATATGGAGACTGTAAAAACAGTTGCCAAAATATGCATAGATTGTTAGTGATGTTATTAGCCACATGACCTGATTTTAAGAGATGGCCACTTTCTTCTTTCAGAACTCAGGATGCTCCTGGGCCTGAACTGATATTGCCTGCAAGCATTGAATTCAGGGAAAGTTGTGAGTAATTTCAGATTCCATTGTTAGTGAATTATTTCTTGTTCCATTTTCCTCCATCTGATTTTCATGGTTTTTTTTTTTTGTTCTTTTTTTTTCTTTTTCTTCTTTTTTGAAATCTTTTCACAGCTGAAGATTCATTTTTATCTGCCATTATAAATTATACTAATAGCTCTACAGTCCATTTTAAGTTGTCACCTACATATGTATTATATATGGCATGTCGGTATGTATTGTCCAGCCAGTACAGACCGGATGTCAGTCCTACAGAACGTACTCACAAAGTGATTGCAATAGTCAACAAGATGGTGAGCATGATGGAGGGGGTGATCCAGGTAAGCCTCAGCCTGCAGAGCCAGTTCAGTAAGTGTGCTCCTTGTTTTACACCAGGAAGCCAGTGGCTTTCGTGTTCCCGCCTGGTCATATGTTTGACTCTACCTCCACAGTCTTTTCTGAAATGCAAGTTCTATAAATAGCACGGACAATGGTATAGCTTTAAAAGTTGAAAAGAAATGTAAACTTGTTTTTTGTTTCTTCCTACAAATGTTAGAATACGGGAAGGTAATCTGAATGTGGGAACATAATGATCATGGTAAAGATCCTTAAAATGGTAGTGGTTGTAAGAACGTATCGAGACTTGGGGATTTTTTTAGAATTAAAAACAATAATATGTTGAGGTGAATTTCACATTAACGTAAAATGAACCATTTTAAAGTGACTCATTCAAAGCATTTCGTACATTCACGGTATTGTGCAGCAACCACTTGTGGTTCCGGAACATTCCCATCACTTTAAAGTAAAACCTGTGCCCATGAAGCAGTTTGTCCTCATAACCCCTCCACCAGTCCCTGGCAACCGCCTTCTTAGAATCTTCTCATGGTTATAAAGGCATGCTCTTTTCTAGTAGGAGTGTATGATGTTGGTAGTAGTCATGTGGATTTTTGCTAGCACTCATTTAGGTGTGGTGGACATCACGACATTTCTCAGTGATGATGAAATGAAAATCTTTCATAAAACTGTGGAAAGCTTAAGGAACTAAGAGCATTCTTTTTGTAGTATGGTTTGTTTCTTTTTAAGTACTCTTCATCTGTAGTTGGTAAAATTGCATAGCAGTTTTCCAAACTCACGGATAATTTGAAGATTTAATCTTAAGTCCTTAAAAGTAAATGTAAAGATTTTAAGTTTTTCCAAACCACTTATCAGTGCTGTTATTCGGCCACGAAATATAAAACTCTAGTTACATATTATGAAGCAACATGATTAGATGGTTTGGTTGTTTTCCTCCTGTGAGGGTAGTTTGAGCAAACTAATCTGTTGATTCTTCAGAATTGTTTTAAAAAGGCCAAATTTTTCAAGAACTGTTTCTTTTATGTTTGAGGGGTTAGCCTATGAATCTAATGAGCTTACAGTTCTTTTACCCAAGTGAGGAAACAGCTAAAAAGGATTGTCATTTTATTTGGATTCCATTTTTGTGTTCCTCTCTTACTAATTTCTAAAGAAACAGATTTCCTTTTAGTTCAGAGCCATTGTCTGTCTTCCCTCATGTTTGCATTTCTAAAGCCTGTTTCAGATTGTGAAACTTCTGTCATGAGACTACTGCCGATAGACTTTTTCTGATTGAATTTGAACTAGTCAGTGAGATCATCATTATCACAACAGGTCTTTTAAAACACATTTAGGGTTAGTATGTGATTGGAGGAATCTTAAAGTTTTAGGAAAGAATTGTAGTAATGAATAAATGCTTCAATTTGTAAAAATCTACTTTCAAAAACCGATTTACTCCATTTTAGTATAGTTATGTTTTTTATACATTAAAAAATTTTTAACTTTTATTTTTGTTGTTTCTGTTGGTCTTTTCTGTCTCTTTCATCCTATTAAACCAGAGGATAGACACTCATCTTACATAGCTTTAAGTAGTCAGACACACGGTATCATTAAAAGACGTTAAGAAGTCCTTCATTTATAAATCTTTTAAAGAGATCAGTGTGTTCCTGTGTTAATTGTCACATTCCTTTATATAAATTCTGGGAATTCCCTCCCTTACTGTACCAGTGTTAAGAACATAGAACTAATCCTTTATGTCATGTACTTCCAAAGCTGCTTCAGAGCCAGGAATGAATATGTAATTTGGGAATAACATAACTAAATGTCGTACCTTCATGTCGTACCTTCATGTTAGTGTTTTGATTTTTTTAAACTATCATGATTGTTTACAAGTTTCTTTCTCTCGTTCTGCTTGATTTCCCTTCGTCTGTTTTTCTCCAGGAAGTAGACCAGGTTGATCAGGTAGGACGTGCTGCTGGGAACTGGTCCTGGCTATGTCGGCTTAGCTGAGTTTCTCGCGCTGCTTCCATGTCAAACACAATGCTCCAGCAACCGGACTGGACGGTTCATAACACTCATTCAGCAACTGAAACATGCAGTACTAAATCCCTTTTTGACTGTGCAACCTTTATCAGCATTTCATAATTTCTGCTTAATGCACTTCAGTGTGGATATGAAATGACAAAAGTTCTGTTTCTCCTCTTTCTTGTTTATCCTTGGTTCCTATTCTTTGGATCTCATCTGAAGTTGCCTGGCCTGCACATGTGGTCGGGAGATGATGTGATAGATCAGTACTTGATACCGAGTTGCTCGGCATCCGAGCCAGTGACTGCGCGTATCAGGGTGGTTGTGGGTAACCATGGATAGATGTGTGTGTACTTCACAGATTACCAGATAATGCACAATCTCCAATTGGGTGTCGTAGGGTTTGACATCTCTGTTTTCGGCACTGATTCCATACATGGTAGCTAACTGGATCCATGTGTCTGACCATGAATCCTCTAAGAAGATGTCGCAGTTCCATTGCTGTGAACGTATCCAAATTCCTTTGCAAATATCTGGTATCTGTGGTAAATACCTTGGTGACAATGGGAAGGTACTGGTCTATCTCCAGCAGCTTTTCAAGAGCATTCCTTTTTTTTTTTTTTTTTCCATTCTTTTTGCTTGTCTTTGGGTCGCTTATGGAAATGTGTTCTGTCTACAGAAACAGAAGAATATTGCAGGGGCACTTGCCTTCTGGATGGCCAATGCATCTGAGCTGCTCAACTTCATTAAACAGGATCGAGATCTTAGTCGAATCACATTGGACGCCCAAGACGTTTTAGCACACTTGGTTCAAATGGCGTTTAAGTAAGGAGCACGTTTTTGGAGATTGCACTATTCTGTAGAGGTTTTTTTTAAAGGTTTTTTATTTACCCTAATTAAAGATGAATAGCAAGAAGCATGAATAACTATGTGCCAAATGTGTTGATTTAAGAAATTGAATTTATTAGCTGTGTTTCAGGAATCCTGGGAGTAAAACTATTGTAAATGGAAAATATTTCTAAACAGTATAAACTGTTTCACTTGTGGATGTCATGTCTGACAATAGCAGTGTGTCCTGCTGAGGTTATTAAAATTGCCTACGTTTTTTCAGATATCTGGTTCATTGTCTTCAATCAGAACTGAATAATTATATGCCAGCCTTTCTGGATGACCCTGAAGAGAACAGCCTACAAAGACCAAAAATAGGTTAGGATGCCCTTTTTCTCCTCCCTCCCTGTCTCTCCTTCTCTCTCTCTCGGCTTTCCTTCTTCCCTCCTTCTGTTTAACTTCATTTTAATATTTCATATGCATAAGAAGGAGGTATTTTCAAAATAAATGAGATAACCTGCTGGCTTTGGTATTCTTCAGTAAATCGTAACTGCTGTCTGTTCTGTTTCAAGAGCAGCCCTGGGTTGGTGTGTCGTGCTTTTTCAGAAGGTGTCTTAGGGGGAGCTGCAGTGTGCGTAGTTAACGGCCGTGTGTGGTTTCACACCTCACTATCATCTCCTATCTGAAGAGACCGGTGTCTCAAAAGCGACCCGGTAGGCATTCTTACCATAACTGCCATTTTCTGAATTCACCGTTCGTTCAAAAGACTCTTGCTTTCGTCCCGCGTCTCTGAACAGATGATGTTCTGCACACGCTCACGGGAGCCATGTCTTTGCTGCGACGCTGCCGAGTCAATGCTGCCCTGACCATCCAGCTCTTCTCCCAGCTCTTCCACTTCATCAACATGTGGCTCTTCAACAGATTGGTGACCGACCCCGAGTCGGGACTGTGCTCTCACTACTGGGGGGCGATTATCCGCCAGCAGCTGGGACACGTGGAAGCGTGGGCAGAGAAGCAGGGCTTGGAGCTGGCAGCTGATTGCCACCTCAGCCGGATAGTGCAGGTGGGCTTCCCGAGTCTCACCTCCCCACCGTCCCTGGACTTCGTCATCGGTGGCTCTCCTTCTGTCCGGGGTCAGAACTCGGATTCAGACAATTCAGTACCCCTCTGGGGTGTTGCATGTGCACAGCTAAAGAAACACTGGCGTGTTGGTTTGCCTGGGTCGCTGTGACAGACTTCCACAAGCTCAATGCATCAATGACAGACAGTTGTCTCCTAGTCCAGGAGGCAGGAAGTCCAAGGTCATGGTGTGGGCTGGGTGGTTCTCCGCCTTCATTTTCACAGGTGGTCTCCCTGTGGGCATGTGTGTCTCCACACATCCACTATTTATACGGACACAAGTCATGTTAGACCTGCTGTCCTCGCTCACTTCTGTCAAGACCCTTTCTCCAAGTAAGGTCGCGTTCTGTGGTACACGGGGTTAGGACTTCTGTGTATGAATTTTAGGGGACACGGATCAGCCCGTAGCAGGTGGTAAGCAGTAGAGTAAGTGCCCTTAAAGGGTTCTTTTCTGAGACCAGTAGGTGTATTTTGTGAAGCTCCATACTGAATGGATGGATTACAGTTTAAAACTGGGTAACACTTTAGTTTTTAGCATACGGAGCCAAGTGACCACAAAGCAAAAACCCGTAGTGGATGCACAGAAGAGAAAGAGAAAGGGGTCTAAGCATAGCACTTGGCAGTCCTCACATCCCAAAGGACCAGAGCAGGAGACTTGAGAAGGGGACGGAGGAGCACTCAGCTATGTGCTAAGGCCTCGGCCAGTTCTCAGGGAGCCCCTACGTAGCCCACACTGGACACGGGGGTTTTACAGTCAAGGAAATAACATCTGCAGCCTCAAAACCTAGGACAGATTTTTTTTATTATTACTACAGTGTATAATTTTGCATTTTTTTCTCAATTTCTTTTTTTTTTTTTATTTATTTGAGAGAGAGAGAATGAGAGAGAGCACGAGAGGGAAGAGGGTCAGAGGGAAAAGCAGACTCCCTGCCGAGCAGGGAGCCCGATGTGGGACTCGATCCCGGGACTCCAGGATCATGACCTGAGCCGAAGGCAGTCGCTTAACCAACTGAGCCACCCAGGCGCCCCTTTTTTCTCAATTTCTTAATTTCTTTTAAAGTAATTTAGTATAGAAAGAGGCTACTATTCTCCTCCACTGGCTATAAAAAAGTCATTACAATGAAACTTTATTCAGACCCCGGTAATTGGTAATCTGAGTGGTTATGATGTAAATGTTTACAGTTTCTAAAAGAATTTTTAAAAATGACTTATGGACATAAATGAATCTCATTTACATTTTTATATTTTAGTAAAATATAAATGTGTATATTTTAGTAAAATTAAGAAACTCTCTAAAAACCTTCACTAGACAATGCTTTTTCAGTTCAATTCAATGTTAATAGAAGTGTATTTCCCTAAAAAACATTCTGCATTTCAAAATCAAATTAGCAAGTTATTACAGTTTTAAATGTTAACGTAAAGGGAATATTTATGAAATACTTTTGAATCATATCTCCTGTTATTCTTTTGAACAGGCAACCACTTTGCTTACAATGGATAAATATGCGCCTGATGACATTCCAAATATAAACAGTACCTGCTTTAAGTTAAATTCACTGCAACTTCAAGCCTTGTTACAGAATTACCACTGTGCACCCGATGAGCCTTTTATCCCCACGGTGAGTGGCACACGTTAGCCACACAGCATGAGACATGTTTGCATAGGGAAATTTTCAGTTCAAAAAAGTGGGGGAGAGTCGACGTTTATAATTACTTTATTTCTTTAATAAATAAGCCACTTAATCATCTCAGATCATTTTTCTTGTTGATATTTGAGTTTGAATTCAGTACAAGAAAATACACAAGCATTTTAAGTAGAAGGGGATTTAATTCAGGGAATTAGGTTCTTGGGAAGTCATTGGAAGGACTGGGGGAGAGGAAGTTAATTTGCCCTGGTTCCCAGGCTCACCCCTGGGACCTGAGGCTCAGAGGCCCAAGAGCTCCTGCCACGGCCACAGGCATCCATGTGCTGCGGGCACAGAGTGCCCCCTCATATCCACTGCTCATCCTCGTGTGCCACCAATAGCAAGCAGCGTGGCAGGGGGGCCCCCCGACCTGGGCAGGTGCAGCAGACTGGTGGGAATCGAGGTTTGGCATCATGCCTCTCGAGAGGAGTGGAGGGTGAGCGGCCTAGTCCATGGTGTGTGCTAGAGCTGCTGTGTATAGAGTGAGAAAGGCTGCAAATGCTTGTCACCACCCACGGATAAAGTCCGCTCGAGGCAGGAGTCCTGATGAGGGAAGTGCATGAGGTAGATGGGTTGACCTCTAGTCCTGACTTGGTGCCAACAAAAGACGTGTACGGAGTAGCCCAGGATCAGAAACCAGCAAACGCCCACTGACAAAACAGCGTATAGAAGGTCTTGTCACTGTCACGTTAAGGAGCACGGCACGGCGCCGAGGTGTGAATTTGCACAGCAGATGACATGCACTGTGCCGTGTGCACAGAAGTCAGAAGTAAATAGAGCACGCTTCTGTCTGTACGGGTTTCACGAGCACACAGGTGGGATCTGTGGTGGGAGAAGCCCAGGAAGCTGACCCAGGGAGGGAGACAGTGAGGAGGGGCTGCTTCTCTGTCCCTTGAACTGGGGGCAGTTGAGGTGCTGTGTTCACTTCCTCGAGCTTTACAGTGAAGGTGTGTGAGCTTTCCTGTTAGCTGGGAATAGATATTTTTGTCCCAATTTTTTACATTTTCCACTGTGAGCTTTTTCTGTCATTAAAAATTCTACAAAAGTAGGATTATTAGCACCTGGATGTTAAAAAATTGCAGGGAAAAAATGACTACTTTTGAAAAAGGAAACCATTTTCTTGTGATTGAATAATTTCTTTTTAAGGCTGCAGATGACTTGAGATTAATTATGACTATCTTGGTTCATATGTTTGAAGTGTGTACTTCGCAGATGATACGTTGCTCTGCAAAGTGACGTTAACGCACTGAGAAATCTGTTCTCGCTCGCAGCCTGCCTGCGTGTATGTGGCCACACTGCGCACGAGGAGATCTGAGTGCCAGTCCGTTGGCGTGCCGTTCTCACTGTGCGTCTGTGTTCTGACCAGGACCTGATCGAAAACGTGGTGGCCGTGGCTGAAAACACGGCTGATGAGTTGGCGCGCAGTGACGGGAGGGAGGTGCAGCTTGAAGAGGACCCCGATCTGCAGCTGCCTTTTCTTTTGCCAGAAGACGGCTACTCTTGCGATGTTGTCAGGAACATTCCAAATGGTTTACAAGAGTTTTTAGACCCTTTGTGCCAGAGAGGTGAGTCTCACCTACTGTACCTGGCATCTGAACTATGACCTGAGCCTTGTACCCGTGTGTGTGTGTGTGTGTGTGTGTGTGTGTGTGTGTGTGTGGCAGTCCACACGTGTGGAGCACACACCATATGCTTCTGGAGAAAGCCGTGTTCCAGGACGCGGAAGTAAGCGATTCACGGTGACAAGGGGTCAGCAGTGTCCCGCCATGAAGTCCCTGGGGGGTGCTGTGACCCTCCCACGGGCACTGGCTATGCTCACCAGCTGCCACAGCCACCTTTCTGCTGGGCCTGCTAGGAAGGAGGACCTTTTGTTGCTCCTCCCTCCGTTTTTTGTGAGCCCGGGAGCTTGGCTCACCCCTGGAACTGAATTGTCCGTCGTGTTGCTACCAACAGAGTTGGGGGGCAGCACAAGTGCTGCAGTCAGACCCTCCCAGCTCGGACCCCAGCTCTGTCCCCTGTGACTTCCATCTATAAGATGGGCATGTGGACAGCAGGGACTCAGGATGTGGTGAGGACTGGGCCAGCTGCCCGTGGGGTGCTTAGACCCGGGGCACCTGCCGTGTGTGCATGAGCCAGACTCCAGCTGGTCCTGTGTGAGGGCAGAGAGCCCCCCGGTCTCATCCTACCACCTGTTCACATCCTCTTGTTGGACTGGGCTGATACAAATACCACACTTAGGGGGTGCCTGGCGGCCGACTCTTGGTTTCGGCTCAGGTCATGATCTCAGGGTCCTGGGATCGAGCCCCGCATCGGGCTCCCTGCTCCGCGGGGAGTCTGCTTGACATTTGCTCTCCCTCTGCTCCTTATCCCCCAAATACCACACTTAACACCTGAAGCACAGACTTTTAAATTAGACCACAATTCAGTCCCAGTCTGCTATGTTTTGTAACGTGGAGCTCAGATGAATAAAAGAAGAGATTCAAAATTCAGGAGTTTAAACAAAAATAATAGCAAAGTTAAGGTTTTATGTTCATCTACGTAAGTGTGGTGAGTGTGATTTTTCATTTCAGTGACTTTCACATGCTGCAATAGATTTTTATGTCTTTAAAGGTTTTGATAGTTTAAAATTTCCATTTTCCAAAGCCTTCTTGTAACACAAAGGTAGTGTGTTAGTTCATCCACCAGCAAATGTGGCTGTAGCCACGCCGGGAGCGCGGACCCTGTCTCCTCTCAGCACTGTCCTCCGAGCAGCAGAGCTGAGGTGCATGCATCTCCGAGGAGCCTTGTGTGAAGGAGACGGGCCGGGACAGGAAGCCGGGCTCCTGTCTGGGACCCGCAGGGAGGATGGAGGTGTGGGCTGCAGTGATGTCCACGAAAGCTTCAGTCGGGCACTGGGAGCCCCCGGGTCAGGGCTGCTGTCGGGGGAATCCTCCCTCCCCGCAGAGGGGGCCTGCGCTGGTCTGTGGCACTGGCGTGTGGCCTCGGTGTGCCGAGCCCAGGGGTATCCGCTGCCATGCGGGGCACCCCCGTGTGTCACACCTGCGGCGCCCTGCCCGTCAGCTGTGTGTCCCCAGCACGCACGCACCCACGTGTGGGTTACAGCGGCAGAGCGCTGGCAGGCTGCTTCCCGGACCGCCCTCCCTGCCCCCACCCTGCGTGGCCATCGGGTGCTTGGCGGCTTGTCACTGCTGGCTCTCCTGCCCCCAGCCTTGCCCCTTCAGCCCCAGGATCCGAGCGCGCAGCCTCCGCCCCCAGCCTCGTCGTCCGTACTGACCGCCGCTGCGCGGCCCCGCGGGCCTTCCCCCCGCTCGTGCCCACTGCTTCACTCGCACTCCTGCCAGGTAGCCCTTTGTCTAGAACACCTCAGCCTCCTCCTGACACTTCAGCCTCTTTCCCCCCAAGGGACTCTGTGTTCTTTCGGGATGTTTCTGTGACAGCACCTGAAGCACGTGTATCCGTCTGTCTCTGGGGTCAAGCTGCAGTCCTGGGGGGCGGGCTCCCCCTACTCCTCAGCACCTGCAGTCCGGGGGGCGGGCTCCCCCTACTCCTCAGCACCTGCAGTCCTAGGGGGGCGGGCTCCCCCTACTCCTCAGCACCTGCAGTCCGGGGGGCGGGCTCCCCCTACCCCTCAGCACCTAACGTGGGGCCGCTGGGCGTCGAGTGCTCAGCACCGAGTCCTTGTGAAGGCGCACACGGGAAGACTAATTTGCTAGCATTTTTCAGAGCTGTACGTGTGATTTGCGGTGTGCACACAGCTGCTGGTTTTGTAATGTGTGCCGTCAAGGAGAGGCTGGCCAAGTTGGGAAGAGTGAGCTCTTGCCTTGGTGGTGAAGTTTACTCCGTGACTTCCCCTGAGGCTCCCCTGAATGACTGATTTCAGAACGTATGTGCTATTTCATCATGGTCTTGGCGTCCCCACGTTATTCCATGTGTGTCAGATGGTAACACAGCCTATTACAGAGGTGCCTTTACAAGACTTACAAAGAACTGGGTGTTTTCTTGTATGACATCAGTGTTTTTAATTTTTCATGCTCAGTTCTTTGTAAGCCGAATAAAGAAGTACTATGTGTTCTCAGTTTATACTCCTTTTGTTTGTCCTATAACAGTCATGTGAGAGAAGGCTATAAAACCAGCACGGACTCATACCTGATCCGAGATGCATTCCTTCACCTAAGAGAGCAGAAAATGTCTGTCTGATGTGTGATCCAGCCTTGACATTTGAAAAAAATAAGAAAATAATAAAAGTTGTTCATTTCAAAATCGTGATAATCACAGTCCCCTCAAGCAGGGGAAAGAGAAGTTGTAGGTTATATTTTAATGAAAACAGATTGAAACAGTGAATTAAAAAAAAAAAGGACTCTAAGCTTATATCTTTATTTTAACTGTGTTCTCTTGCTCATAGGTGCCCAAAAATAACGGGCAGCCTCCCCTCACTAGTGGAATCCTAGAGTGGGAGAGTGGTGCGTAGTACCAGTTCTGAGGACTAGCTGAGGCTCTGTGTGCTGGCGAGAGCAGTCAGTGTGACATCGGGCACATGCTGTGCTCCGCGTGATTGTTTGGCTGCTAGTATTAGTAAGACCAGACGGCTTTGGAGAACATTTAAGAATTGTGCAAGGCCTATGTGATACGACTTTGTCAAGAAATTCCTGAGAAACATAGAATAAGATGTGACAAAATGAAGAGTGACATGTTATGAATCAAAAGGCTTAGTTTTGTACAGATGTCATTTCTTCATGAAGGGAATGTCATAGATACTCTTTAAAACATTATAAAATGATTCTGCAATTTATTTGTAAGAAATTTAAGGGACTAGTAAGGAAATTTGGACAGAGTCATGAGAAGGGGTCCATCCTACAGGTCAGAGTCCTGCCTGAAAACCGTAGAGCCCAATGTGACATTGTGGGCAGGCGTGTGTCCTGGTGGTGGTTTTGGTCTCTGCTGTGCAAGGCATTCTGGGTATTGTTGAGCGCTTGGTCAGCAAGGAAGGAGTTACCGTGCAATTCAGTGATTTCTCAGAAGTAAGGAGAAAAGTTCTTTAAAAAAAAAAAGAAGGGGAAACCAATTTCACTTTTCAGCCTGGTGTTGAATTCCATTGGATGAAAACAAATAATGATTTTAAATGTGATAGTTCAGTTTTGAGAGGGAATAAATGTATGTAGAGTAGGAAAAATAAATGTCATCTTTAGATATTAAGCAATTGACACGTGATGCTGCTTCCCTTCTTGAAGATTATGTGGCTGACATGCTGTGTTTTTCAGTTTTATAATTTGCTTGTTTCCTCCTCAGGATTTTGCAGGTTAATCCCTCACTCACGCTCACCAGGTACCTGGACGATATATTTTGAGGGTGCAGATTATGAGAGCCACCTTCTGCGTGAGAACACGGAGCTGGTAAGTGTTGTGAGGGTGACAGGCGGAGTACAGACTAACCTGTATTCCTTACAGTTTGGAAAATGTGACGTGAACTCCTTTCTTGATTATAGCGAGCATTGTTGTGATAAAAATATTTTAAGATCACCTTTAAGTACCAATTTTATTTTTAAAAAACCTGAAACCATGACTGATGTATATGTATTTTTTCCAGGCCGTGTCTGTCCACTTTTGTCCGTAAACAAATGGTATTTTTTAAAATAAAGAATATTTCGGGGCACCTGGGTGGCTCAGTCGTTAAGCGTCTGCCTTCGGCTCAGGTCATGATCCCAGGGTCCTGGTATCGAGGCCCACATCGGGCTCCCTGCTCCACGGGAAGCCTGCTTCTCCCTCTCACAATCCCCCCCTTGTGCTCTCTCTCTCATTCTCTGTCTCTCTCAAATAAATAAATAAAATCTTTAAAAATAAAGAAAGAAATAAAGAAAGAAATAAAGAAAATAAAGAATATTTCTACCCACGGCTATACCAGCCTCCTTAATGTCAATACGTAGTTTTTAAAAGATATTAATACGATAGCCTTACAAATTTTATTAGAAAATGTTTTTCTAGGGGCGCCTGGGTGGCTCAGTCGGTTAAGCGGCTGCCTTCCTCGTGATCTCTGGGTCCTGGGATCGAGTCCCACATTGTGCTCCTTGCTCAGTGGGGAGTCTGCTTCTCCTTCTCCCTCCGCCTCTCCCCCTGCTCTCTCTTTCTCTCAAATAAAGAAAAATTAAAAAAAAAAAAGTTTTTCTCTGGTAGAAATATTTTCTCCTTATAGTTGGTTCTACCTTGTTTTAAATACGTATCAAAATCACTTGCTGATATTTTGCATCTTCTGAAAGAGTAGTCAACCCTAGTATTTGCTAGTTTCATACATTTTATGGAAAATTCTGCTTTGCCTCCTACAGAGAGTTTTAAACAACAGGGAATGTTTCCCTGTGCGCTAGAATGTGACAGCAGACACAGTTGTCCTGTACGACATAGACTGCCATATCTCTGATTAATAGAAACAGATGAAATTTCTCCTTTTCGAACTTTGTTACTGAATTTCATTTAAATATTTTTCTATAATTGCCATTTTCATCTTTAAGCCACTTAAGGGTTTGAAGGAGCGAACAGATGTGACTGTACTTTTGTCGAGGTTCCTATGGGTCAGGGTCAATGTGTTATGTGTGATTGATTGCATGTGTCCATTTATTCACCTATCCACCGATTCTCAGAAGGCATGGAATTGTCCAGCACACCTGACCTGCCAAGATTTAGAGATTCTGGTGTGTGAAAACAGCCAGATACCTTCTAAAGCTTCAGAGACTTCCTTGTACCACTCTAAAATATTAACCAGTAGTCAGTCAAAACTCTGTGCCTATTATGTACCTAATTTCTAAGAAAACATACTTTGTGTAAGGTGGCAATACTTAAAGTAAAGCATGTAATGTGTGTTTTGTATATCAAATTCCAAGTAATCATTTGTGATGACTGAGTAGCCTGCTTTAGACTGGAGTGTGTGTCCTGCCCTCTCCAGCAGCTGAATTAGCGGACGGGAGCTCTGCCCTGTCAGAGAGCCGGTGGTGCGCAGCCACTGACACACCGACAGTGCGCCTCTCACGCTGTCTCTCAGCCTCGTGAGCTTTTTGCCGCATCCCGAGTGATAGCAGTTCCCAACTCCCAGATTTTATAGAACAGCAAGTCCCTTCGTAGATGGGATCACGCCTTCTTCATCTTCCTACTGTAGTCAGAGATCCCTCGGGAGCTTTCAAGTCTTAATCTACGAGAAAAAAAATTGTAATGTCACCTAATCTTGCTTATTTTCCTTAAAGTGTTCTCTCACTGACCTTGGTTCTAACTTTAACAACCCACATGTATAATTACCACTTGGTAATGTGCTTTCGTACTTACGTATTTGATTAAATTATCCCTTAGTGTGTATGCACTGGTAATTTTTCTCTGTAATTTTGTTTATTCTTCGGGTGAGGTGTGACATGTGTCTAACATGTAGCCTCAGTGGGCAGTTCCTCATTTGCTTAGGGGTCAGTTTGAGAACTGACCTCCGCCCCTCAGCTGTGACTTTATTACCCAAAGTACTTGGAACGGTGGTGCCCCATCATGGGGTGGCCTGACCTCAGATGGCACCTGCATTCTCCCAAGAGACAGATGTGTGATCATCTTTGTTACGACTCTTTTGCTGACCTCCCCATAGATGGTGGGAAATAAGTTTACATTTTTTCTTTAAAAAACACCTAGTAATTTATTTTGAAAGGTAATAAAGTAACAATTTAATTTCTATGATTGGGTTTTTCTAATCTGTAGTAATGGAAGTGTAGTTTTGTTTTCTAAATTAAGTTCTTTAACGCTTAAATAGCACTTATGATAGTTTCATCTTCGAGGCTCTTGAGGTGAGAGTATTGATCTTTTCCCGGGTTACTCCATGAGCAGTATCTGTAATCCTTGCTCGTTGTCTGTGCCGTTTACCACATGATTGTCTAAGGTAGAAACACTTCATTTCAGCCATAAAATAAACCTTTGTTTTCGTTCTTCAGGCTCAGCCTCTGAGGAAAGAACCCGAAATAATCACTGTGACTCTTAAAAAGCAAAATGGGATGGGCCTCAGCATCGTTGCAGCAAAGGTAGGGCACCGTGGGTGATGTGAGTTGTCACACTTCATTCCTGGACCTTGAGTCAGTCAGCACTCGGCCGAGTGTGTGGGAGCCCTTCGCTGCCCGAGGACGAAGTGCGCCTACACTTCTGTTTCTCTTGGGGGTCAGTGGTGTTACACAAAAGAGGCCACAGTGCTCAGGCCCAGGCAATGGAGGGACGACATCCTGCTCTGAACACAGGAGCCCTAGAGAGTGTGACCTTGATATTGAGCCAGGAGTGCTCCTGAGGAGCAGGCCGTCAGAACTTGAGCCACAACAGGCACAGGAGCAAAGGATTCCTTAGTCTGAAACAGGAGCTGGGTCTCGCACATGGTGAGAGCGGGGCACCGGACGCCTTTGCAAGTGCTAGTGCACGGACACGTCCCCACACACTTGTTACCCAGGTGGCCTGCTGCCTCCCCGGTCCAGGCACTCTCTTCCAGTGGGTGTGCCGTGGGGCCTAGGAGGTCGCACCCTTCCCCTGGGCTGCACATGGGCCCGCTCTGTACTGAGTGCCGCAGACCAACTTGCAGGGTGTCGGGAGCGAAGTGCGTCCCAGCTAGCCTCAGAGTGGGTAGTTGGGGACGAGCAGGGATGGCACGAAGCCGGGTACAGCTAAGGGAGAGTGGAGTGAGGGAAGTGGTGCTCAAGTGATTGTGGAAACTCCTGACTGATGGCTGAGGGGTTCGCACTGTATCCTGTAGACTCCATAGAGAAATGAAAGGGACATGATGGAACTGGAATTTCAGGAAGCTGTGTCTAGGAAGGGCGTGGTGTAGGATGACTGGACGAACCTGGGATCGCAGGTGGGATTCCAGGTGGAATCGGCTGGCGGAGGCGAGCCTTTGTCGGGTGTGGACTCAGTAGTCTGCTTCTGAAGCGCCAGGTTCTGTGGGGTTGCCCAAGACGGGCCAGAGGGTAGGTCCAGAACCTGTTAGCCCAGCTCATAGTCCAGAGTCCCTTACTCCTGATAAGGCTCATGCTCGTGGGCCATATTTCCAGACTATTCTAACTTAATGGACCCACAACTCAACTTTGGGAGTTGTGAATGGGAAGGTATTAGACATGGACTATTTTCTCTGCTTACCAACTGAATCAGATGCTCATTTTTAAGGGAAAAAAAAAATACCAGGATGAAAAATTACCTTGCCACACTCAGATACACAGGAAAACTTTAGCCTGTGTGTTTCCTATTATGTGTTTATTTATATGGATCTTCTTTCCAGTATTCATCTTACTTGGGATTTGAAGTACTAACCTGTGGGATGGCAGGGCCACTGTTTATCAGCACCTCCATCTTTTCCAGCTCAGAAAGTTACGCTCTCTCTCAGTACAGAAAAACCTGTTTTCTGAAGATTCAAGTCTGATTTACGTGAGCATCTTTGATCCTTTCCTGTAACATGTAAAGGCATCGTGTATAAAGTGAGGCCGCGCGTGGGCCCCTGCCGTGCCCTCTGGCCTCTGTTCTTGCCGGGCGGCCAGGTGTCAGTGGGTGGTTAGCACAAGGAGGTGGGCTCAAGTCACAGTCATGCCTTGATTCACTTACCTATGCCTGTGGGTGAGAGGCAGAAGGGAGGGCACTGGCCCCAGGCTGCCATCCTCCCCCAGGAATTGTTCCTGCTAAGGGTCAGATGGCAGGCAGTGGGGAGAGTCCTCTCACTGCCAGGAAGGGTCCCTCCACCTTTATATAGACTGGAGCAGGGGAAGGAGCGAGAAAGCAGTGAGTGAGCCTAGAGGACAGGACCTCAGCTGAGGCCCCGTTAGCAGGTCTCTGTGTGGAGGTGCTCGGGCCGGGACCAGTGAGGACAGCTGGCCCACCTGGCCTCGCGCACCACCGTGGCTGCTGGCCACGCAGCTGTGCTTCTGTCCTGGTGGTGGTTCCCTGCACTTGCTCGCCTCTTCCGCTCCCGGCTGTGCTGACGCCACTCCCTCTGAGCTCCCGTGCCTTCTGTGTGCATCTGCGCTCATGGAAGGAAGCATGGGGAATACGGTGTTCTCCCTCTAGTCAGCAGGGGGTACTTCATCATAAAAACAGAAATGACTCTGGAATCCTTGCTATTACGAGGTATTTGCGACTTGTGCTAAGAAATTATGGTAGCACCGTGACTGATTTCCGTTAGCCTCGCCTAAGTTGGGAACACGCAGGATTTAGCTTCCGGTTGTATAGTAGTCTTAGGAGGTATTTGTTTTCTTTCACTAGTAATAGAGTAACAAACTGAACGTGAAAGTAGTAGCTAATTGTTAAGGTGCTGTTTATTCCAGGAGAGAATACCAAGTGCCTGCTGTGTAAAAATAAAGTATAATTTTCACTTTTTAACCTTGAAGTCTCTAGGTTTCTGTTGGTGGTGTTTTCTGTACCGACACATTAAAAAAAAAAATTGTAGATAAAACTGGAAAATACCAGTGTTAGCATTTCTAATTGGGATATAGGATTATAGAATTGGGGCTTCATGGGGACTAGGAGCAACACAGGAAGTTAGGTACAAACCTTACTGCCCGAAGCTGGGATGGAGAGCGTGGTGCCTGTGACACATCTACGGCAGACTGGCTGCAGCTAATTTCTGAAAGCAGCCTGCTCGCCTTCCTGCCACCTTCCCACGTGGCACCTGCCGCAGGCCTCCCCTCAGAGCCGGAGAACCCAGGACAGGGGCACCTGCTCAGTGGCTTCACCCCCGCCTCACCTCTCTCACGGCAGGCCTGCTCCTTCCTTTTCTAAACTGGGAAGGTGGCACCCTCGCCAACATTTCAGGGATTTCCACAGTTTTTGTTTCTGGTCTTTTTAAATACTTTCCACAGTGAAAGTATAGTATTTATAAATTTAGAAGCAGAAGAAATTTTTTGAAAAGAGATTCCAGGGCCGCCTGTGTGGCTCAGTCGTTAAGCATCTGCCTTCGGCTCAAGTCATGATCCCAGGGTCCTGGGATTGAGTCCCGCATCGGGCTCCCTGCTTGGCGGGAAGCCTGCTTCTCCCTCTCCCGCTCCCCCTGCTTGTGTTCCTTCTCTCACTGTGTCTCTCTCTGTCAAATAAATAAATAAAATATTAAAAGAAAAAGGAATCCAGATTTAATGCTAAGGTGGTTAATTCATCAGCTTATTAAACAATAGATTTAATAAAACTAAGTATGCACCTGGTTCTCGTTATAGTTTCTCCCACCGAGAATATCTTTATTGGTACATATAGGCTTGGTCACTTGAGGGGTGAGGCAAAAATAAATAGGAGAGAGTGAATGACATCAGAGGTCATTATCCAGGGGTATTTATTGAATGTCTAAATGCCCGTGGAGAGAGGAGATAGTGAAGGCCTTCTTGAGGAAATGCCTTTTAAGCTGCAACTTGCAGGGTGTGCACGTGTTAACCAGGTAGAGGGTGGTGAGCAGAGAACTTGAGAAGAGGGCCGGCGGGCAAACGCGCAGCCATGTGGCTGCAGTACAGGAGCTGGGGGCAGGCCTTCCGAGCTGCATGTGGGAGACGGGGAGCTGGGACCGCGGCTCGCACAACAGTCGGCGCGCTTCTCCTGCAAGGGGCCGGATGGCAAGCGTTCTCTGCTTTGTGGGCCTTTCGGCCTCTGCTGCGGCCACAGGGCGGCGGCCAGTGTGGGAGGGTGACTGTGCGGCCTTGACGGGGTTGTGCATGTTAGTATCAGCCAGAGAAGTAGCCGTTGAAGGGTTGCAGATAAAGGCGCGACAGGATCAGAGTGGGGTTCTGAAAGTTTATGGTTGGTCCTTCAGAGAGCACGGCTTCGAGGCGCTCAGGAGTGCAGGCAGAGCGGCCGTCGGGGGCAAGCCACCAGCAGTTTGCTGATGGAAGGTGGCGGAGGTGCTGGCCCGGGAAGCGGCCGCGGAGGCAGATGATCGGCCGGCCGGAGGTGGGGTGGAGCAGTCACTGAGGTCGGGCCCTCGGTCTTGCTGCTGGAGCATTGTAGGTGCCGATTCTTGTTTGCAGAACAACAGCTTTCCATGGGATGGATGAACTGGCTGTGGGGGTGGAAGAGAGAAGTAGCAGGTTGTACCGTGCTTCTGTGCCCAGCGTGGGGTGTCTGGAAGTGGCCTGCACTGAAAGTGGGGCTGGGGCAGGGAGAGAGTCAGGTGTTCAGTTTGCGCATGCTACCTTGGAGATCTGGGATGCCAGTCTCGCTAGGGGGTGAGGATGTTGTGGAGCAGACAGAATTTGGATGCCAGCACACAGACAGATGCTATAGGGAAAGTAACTCAAAGAATACGGTCTGTTAAGCGCACACTGTGCCCCTTGAAGACATGAACAGGGCGTTCATGCCTGCTCTTGAAACGAGACAGGAGTCTCGAAGTTCCCCATTGCTTCACGTAACCTGTTTTTCTCCGACTTCTTTGTAATGTCTTTGGTACTAGAAAAGGAACATTCAGCAATAAAAATCAGAAGTCATTTAATTTACACGCATTGCTAAAACAGCGCCGTGAGGCTGATACATCGCATAGGTCTGCATCGATTATAACAATAGAAAGAGATTTGTTTTCGGGATTTCAAGAATGTGTTTTAAGTGCCAGGCCGGCCGGCGTACAGTGAGCGCGGGGGGAGCTCAGCACGTTCGGGAGCTGTCATTTCCCTCTTGCCAGGGCTCAGCTTGCTTCATCTGCTGGTCCGATGCCACGGGATCTGCATGTGCACCTCACAGCCTTGGAGCCCCGAGCAGATCACACGGGACAAGCGGGAGGAGCCATGGGAAGGATCCGACCCGCACCCGCTGGCCACACGGTGCCGTCTGTCATCTTACCCACTCCTTGCTGCCGCATGTCGGCAAAGAACCTGGAGGCCCCAGAAACTCCTACTGGTGTCCGTGTGTGTTCTCTTTAAGCTGTTGTGGTCTCTGATTCTGGCCTAGTCTTTTTTTGATTTTTTTCCTAATTAGTGTGTGGCTAGCTGCTGTGAGCCTGGATCATGTTTTGATGTTAAGCTCCCTGACGCCCCTTCCACATTGCGGTTCAGTTTTATGAAATCCAGATGATTTGGAACAGTAT